AAACATTTCTTCATTTCTTGATTTGATGATTGATAAATTTCTTGCAAACATATTTCATTTTTGCTCGCATTTTGGCAAGATTTTGTCAATTTCAAAAGGTTTCTCAGAAAGAAAGGGCGAAAGAATCGGCTAAAAGAAGGGAGCTGATGTTAACGAAGGTAACTTTGTTTTAAATATTGATTTTATAATGACTTTAAAACCCGACGGCCTTTGCGTATATGAAACAACTATTACAAGACAGCATATAATTTCAGTGTATCTTTAATAATATTGATTCCCTTTTTTATTATATTGAATTTTTTAAATAAAAAAGAAAGCAAAGTTATTTGCAAGCGAGAATTTGAAATCATTTTATTGCAAACTCAAAGTTTATCGATAAAGCCATTTAATTAAAGGCTGTTTAGTTTTATAAAGAACACTTTAAAACGTTTTGCGAAGCGTTTGTGGTTGAATTTTACCTTAAATTGAAGCTTATATTACGTATAATAACATACCTAACATATATATGTTGGCAAATTAATAATTTTGTAATTAAAAGTGATATTTTTTAGGCGATTTTTCATTTGTAAAAATATTCTTAAAAAATTATCGTGTTACCATGACAACTACTTCAGATACTTCATGTTCGGAAAATACAATGGTTTTGTCTGTTTGTCAGCAAGGCGAGGGTTTCTGCATGCATGTATTTTCTAGTAATAATAAATGATGCACCTTGGCGGAAGGTTTGTAAATCCTGAACAAGCTTTCGTTGGTAGGAATGCAACGACCTGAAGAATATAAGGAGAATTTGGACGTATTGAGCAAAGAGGCTCTTCGCTCGAAACTTTGGAATTCTCCTTATATATTTCAGGTTGTTGCATCCATACCAACGAAAGCTTGCTCCTATCATTGGAACTGCCTATATTGGCACAGACAGTTCAAGAATTTTTCATTCATTCAATTCTTAGCTGACGTTAAAATTATCTAAGCCTATTCTTAAAGGTGATCTACTGTCCGATCTGCGCATGTGTACAAATGAGCCCACTTTTTATGATACAAACAATTTAACTATGTTTTGAGTTCTTGAAAAGCCTGATTGTTGTTTCTTGATCATTTATTATACTCTAGAAGCTTGAAAATATAAATAGTTGTCGAATAAAGCTCAATATTTTGGACACAAAAATGTAAACAAAGGCTTTGTTTACATACGGACTGTAGATCACCTTTAACTCATTAAGTCTCATTGCGCCCCCATGCGCCCTGGAATTGGGAACGGGGTAAGTCTCATTGTGCCCTCATGCGCCCTGGATGACACGTCAACTTCCAGGCACGACTGTCTAGCGCGTATTTATCGGGTTGCCTAGCAATGGTCACAAGTATAAAGTGCAAAATTCGGGCTTTCAAACGATACATCATGCGAAAAAATTGATCAAAAGTTTGCGAAGATTTTCGATTTTAAAACTCTATTTTTTTACAAAACCTGTGACAACCACGAAGTGTCACAAGATAGGACTTTGGAGCAAGTTTTAAGGATGAACAAGAAGAGGTTTTTGAAGAGTTTTACATATAAAATATATTGTCAAACATAAGGGAGTGTGCATCTGGTTCAAGTCAAGTTCTTGTCCAAATCAAGTCGCGCGATTTTCAGCCTGAAAAACAGCAATTTCTTTCAATCTAACGGAAAAGTGAAGTGGGAAATCGCCAGAAACATGAACACTAAATCCAAGTGAGTAGTTACGATTTTTTTTAGCGTGTTTTTGAATGAAAATACCTGGCATGTTTTCATGAAATTTGATATAGCATTTAAGCAATTTCAATCTAGTTTAAAACTAAGTTTTTAGAAGAACTTTTCGTGCATTTTATGGCATGATTTCGACTGTTTTCGTGACCCTACTGCTGGTCGTCTTTCTCAAGTTGTTATTTTAGCCGAAGTACTTTCAGAAGACAGTAGGTTGAACTTGTCATGTGCATATATACATTTTTGGCAAGAAACATTTCGAGTAAAACCGCATTAAAACTAAGTAGAATACTCTACAATGAATACTATATCTGTTTCTATAAACTTTGTCTCAAAACGAGCTCTCATTTCAGAGATAATGTGGTTTAAAATCAGTGTATTGAATTATGCCGTTACTTGGCGCGTGCAAATTCTGAACCTTCATGACAGGGATTTGAAAAGCTTCTAAAATACACTTTATTGCTTCATATATCCCCATAAAATTTTTAAATCAATAAAGCACATCATAAAATTAATGTACGCTCATTTTCTAAGAAGTACTTGTCGATTACCTGAAGGAAAAGTTCTAACATAGGTCAGGACAGTGGTTTACAAAATGCCGTTCTCCTCTGAAATGGCTTCTTTTGCGGGAAGCCATTAAATTAATGTACTTTCCAAAATTGTAATTTAGTCGCTTTTTTGGTCTCATTGTTCACTTATTTATCATGGAATTACTTCGCTTGAGCTCTTTTAATAATATCTGCAAGATACTTTGCTATTTGGTGAAATAAAAGCTATATTTTTAGCAGTTTATCTTTTGAAAATTGCATGCGCAACAAAGTGTTGCCAATGTGTTTACTCTCGTCTGACAAACAACCAAAGATGAAATACTTTATTTCACTCTTTTGTAGCAATCTAAAATACCTAAATATTAGATTATTCATTTTATTTGAGCATACATATTATATTTTTATACAATTGGTCCTTGAAAAGGACTTATTTCAAGCTAGAGTCAGATTTCAAACTAGAGTCAGATTTCAAACTAGAGTCAGATTTCAAAAGAAACCGCCTGTCTGACATTTTACAGCAACCTACATTGGCGTGCACAACGTTTTAGCCACAAATCCGTTGTTTTCTCAACAGAAACAAAAGGAATTTCAGTTAAAATTCTTACCTGATGAATATTCAAAAGTGTTTATCTCTTTTTGACGACTTTCAGTGCTCTTAATAGCGAAATAAAAAGCCTTTTGTTTTGTCACCGCACGCTGCGTTTGAAAATGCCGGCTGTCAAAGTCAGAATTGAAAACACCTCAAATATTTTAAAATTTTCTCACCTTTTTCATCCTTTGTTTATATTTTAATTAGTAATTTTTGTACTTCGTGTTTTTCCAAACATATTTGAGGTATTTAAAAACTTCAAAGAGGTACAAACACTGTGTTGTTGGGTTACAGAGTTTTTGGACTTGAACAACAAGTTCTGAAGTTCAAGTTCTCCATTGTAAACTAGATGTCCTGAGTGCCTGAGCTATGCCCAAGCAAATTTTTATAGCGTTTCATTATTTTGTAATTTATACCCTACAAGATGAAAACTAATTGGAATATAAATGTGTACCAATCCAGGAATCAAAAAATATTTCTCCATTTATGTTGGGTTATTGAATTATTGCCCTTCAGATGTTGGGTGTCATGAAGAAACGAAATGTCAGAGACTTAAATTTACACAAACCAAGAATTCTCACCCAAAAATCTAATGATATATTTAGGTGTGGGAGCTCATTTAAAATAGAATTGATTAATCATTTATCATTTTAATCCACTGCCAAATTTCAAGGTTTTTTATAACATTGATCTTGAGATATGGGTATTTTTGTAAAAGCAGTTGACAGAAGTTGACAGTAACTAAAATTCGCCATTTTCCTTGCAACTTGGGGAGTGCCAATGTTGCAACAGTCTGCAACTTAGACTACGTGCACACGGTAACGTTTTCGAGCGTTTTCAGCTGAAACGCGTTTCTGAAAGTATCGTTTTCATGTTCTGTTTACACGTAAACGTATGAAAACGATGTCCGGAAGCAAAAACGTTTCAAGTAGTGGAAACGATGCCAAAGAAACGTTTTCCCTGTCTGAAACGTTTTGAAATTGGTCGTTTTGACACTTTGTTGTCGTGTAAACGGTGAAAACGCCGAAAACCCTGAAAACGAAAAAAAATCAAAATGGCGGACTTTAAAGGTATTATGTTAATTTTGCTGAATTTGAGCAACCTTGTTGTTCAGTTGGCAACTTTATCTGTCAATTTAATAGTTCTCTCAACAAGAAAAACAAAAGTATATGCTATTCAAGAAAACAATTAAAAAAGCACCTGAAAAGGCTAAATAAACGTCGGACGCGTAAGGAAAGGATTTGGTGCCGTCCTGGTCAGACAAACATTTGGTGGGAAAATATTTTGGCCAACCGAACGTGTGCAGAAGAGTGGAAGGAAAATTTTAGAATGAGCAGGCAGCATTTCTTTGAGTTGTGTGAGAGGTTGAGCCCGCGTTTGGCTGGCCAAAATACCAACATGAGAGACGCTTTGCCTGTTGAGACGAAAGTAGCAGCTAGTCTCTATTATGTAGCAGATGAATCTAAATATAGAAAGGTAAGTTAATTAATTAACACAACAGCACTTATTTTTATTAATAATATCTGTATTCTTTTGAAGGACATGTGGACAATGTGTTTTTGGGACTTTGTCCTGAATTAAAAAATTGCTACTAGTTGTCGGCCACACAATTTGTTTGGCACAGACAGTTTCTTCTATTAATTTGAACTTGTAATTTACAAAATATTGAATTTGTTTCGCTATAGAAATCCCTTAATTTAAAAAGTATAGACTCTCACAGTACCAATTATACATGTGTATCATATGTCACTTTCTGTAAATGTCCACAATATACACATAGTACTAATTAACCTACTATGCCTGCATGTGCCTATTTTTAACTCTACAAACATCTGAACCATAGAAATATTATGTCTATTATTTCTATGATCTGAACATTGGCAATGACATGTCCCAATTAGTTGTTATGGTTCTTTATGGTTGTTTAATACAGGTTACTTGCACTATGTTTAAATTTCACACTAGCTCCAAAATATGGGCCCCCCTTGGACCCATGATAATATATTTGTAGTAAACAGTCTTCAAATATCTTTTTTTATCTTTTCAGGTTGCAAATGCATTTGGGATTGGCAAAACAACTTTGTCAAAAATCCTACGGTCTGTTTGTTTGGCTATAGTAGAGCTACTTGGGAAAGAATTCATTAAAATCCCTACTGATGAGAATGACATAACCAGCCTAGCCATTCAGTTTTATACAGTTTTATATTCCCTCAATGTATTGGGGCTATAGATGGGACTCACATCCGTACCAAACAACCGAAAGGAAAATCGTCCGAGTACATTAATCAAAAGGGCTGTTACAGTTTAAATGTCCAAGGAACTTGTGATCATAAGTATTGTTTTATTGATGTGGTTATTAAATGGCCAGGCAGTGTCCACGATGCCACCATGTTTGTTAATTCCCCCATATGCAAAATGCTGAAGAATGGAACCATACCACCTTGTCCTAAAGTCATTATTGAAGGTGAACCAAGCATTCCCATTTGTTTGCTAGGTGATCCCGCCTATCCACTTAACACATTCCTTATGAAGGAGTATGAACTTGGAGGAACAACTGAAGCTGAACAATTTTTCGGGTTTAGACTTACGTCTGCACGAATGGTCATTGAATGTGCCTTCGGACGATTAAAGGCTAGATGGGGTTGCCTCAAGGGAGTGGTTGATGTTGATTTAGAGTTTGTCCCAACTCTGATTTAGGCATGCTTTATATTACACAATTATTGTGAATTAAATCATCAAAATTTAGATAATTCTACAGTTGAGGCAGTTTTACGTTATGACAAAGAATTCACTCAACCTTGTGTTGAGTCCATTGACGAATTCAATTCACAACCAGCAAATAGATTGCAGCAAGTTGAGCCTTGTCCAAAGGAGGCAAAAGTCATCAGAGACATTTTTAGTGTGACGTTTCTTCGAAACTTCACAGTATTGTGATGGTGGGGAAAATTCAAACGAAACAGTCATTCATTCATTCAGTCATACAGTAAACATTCCGGGGGGCGTGTACGATATATGTTCGTAGTGATTTATTGTGCTTAGTCAGTACTTTGAAGGTTATTTAGGCAATTTCAGTTAACTTATTTACATATTCTGTTATCCTTTTACCAAGTTCACAAAAATTTCGAGCAATCGCTTTCGTTATTGTAATTCTTTGTAAATTTTAGAACATTCGCTTCTCATGTTGTGTAAAGGATCTCTACCCCGGAACACCCGATTTTTCTTTAGTAGCGCAAATGCACATGCGCTATCAGCCGTAGATCACGATGGCGTGACGATATGCTAGGAAGGAGTGACAGTGTTGTTTTCAGATGTATAAACATTTCAGACGTGAATATTGAGTAAATCTTTATTATTATTATTATTATAATATCTTTATACACGGTAACTAATCAACCATATTACCTATCAGTATTTACAAAAATTATAAAGGTTGTTTTTCATTAGGCCATGTTATTAAATACAAATTAAAACTCGAAATACTATTATATAAACTATTATAAAAATATTAAAAGATACTAAGAAATGTTTGGGTCGAAGCGATACGTTAAATATATATATTACAAATGAATTAAGTAGATTTAAAATTTTTACTATTATAGTTCCAGTCTTTAGCAGCAGCATATCCGAATGTCCTTTTCATTGAATTTGTTTTAGGCTTCGACAACATCAGCATCTTGTTATCACTTCTTAAATTATATTTATCAGAATTTGAGATTTTAAACATAGTTGAAACGTTTTCAGGACATTGGTTTGAAAGGGCTTTGGCCACATATGCTAATTTTTGCTCCTTTCTTCTCTCTTCGAGTGTTCTCCAATTTAATTTCTTTAAAATATCCGTGGAGCGAATTTCATAGGTATCACCTGTGATTACTCTAGCTGCACGGTTTTGTAGTCTCTGTAGCTTTTCTTTTGAACCTTCGCCACAGCTTCCCCAAACCATGGAGCAGTAATCAAAACTCGGTTGCACTAAAGCCTGATAAATATATTTAAGAGTTTCAAGAGAGACAAATGGCTTTGCACGGCGCAGCATACCAATGCCCTTCGATACCTTTTTACTGATGTTGTCGATTTGCTCATTCCAACATAGATTGTCATCAATCAGTACACCTAAAGTCTTTTTGGAATAAACCTGTTTCAATAGTTTCCCCCCGCATGATACGCTAGTATTTTTTTGAATTTTAGCTAGTCTTTGACAGGTTCCAATGATCATGTATTCTGTTTTTTCAATGTTTAAAGTTAGCTTGTTTGAAAGAAGCCACTGGTGAATATTTTTCATTTCAGAATTTAGTGCTTCCTCCACATACTTGTAAGATTTGTATCATCTGCATACATTGCCGGACAGGATTTATCCAAGCAATTTGGCAGGTCATTGACGTATAATAAAAACAAAACTCAGAATATTATTTTCAGTTAAAAAGGAATTGAGCTGTGTACAGACAAGTTTCTCAAATAACTTGGCAATAATTGAAATAATGGAAATCGGTCTATAATTGCCTCAATTTTTTTGTCACCAGATTTATGAATTGGAGAAATTCTTGCAGTCTTAAGATCATCAGGGAAAATTCCATGTTTGAGTGAAGTATTAAAAATAAATACTAAAAAAGGCGCCACGGCATCACTTACATCTTTCAAAAGTTTGGCTGGGATATTATCATGTCCAGTTGACTTAGACATCTTTAATTTCTCCAGTGCATTTAACACTTCATTGATATTAATGTTTTCGAAATTGAACTTATGTTGAGTTTTAAATTTCATATAACGTTTAAAATCAGTGTTAGTTTCTGTGATCTGGTTCGACAGATTTGGTCCTATATCAGTAAAATATTCATTGAACAAATCAGCTATAGTTTCATTTTCAGTAATAACCTGTTTGTCTATTTGTAGTACTGATATATTTGTTGATCTAGAATTTTTATTAACTAACTGATTAATATGTTTCCACATTTGCTTTGTATTATTTCTGTTTCTGTCAACACAGTTTGTGTAATAATCTCGCTTTGCATACATAATTTTTTTGTTAATCTCATTGCGAAGACTTTTATAAGCATTGTGGCATGCAGTTGAGTTTGTCTTAATAGCTTTCTTCTTGAGATAATCTCGGCGATTCATACTTTTCTTAATTGCATCAGTCAGCCATGGTGCCTTTCGGCTTCCATGATTTAAATTTGTTTAATCTTAATACCATGCATGATAATAATTTGGACCTAAATAATTATATGTCATTTCAGCAATTACAAAGCCATTATTATTCTCCTCATAGTTTTAAATTAATGAAAAACAAAGCCGCATTATCTAGTCAGCAAGAAAACTTATCTATTTTCCATAACAATATTAGAAGCTTAAATTTAAATTTTGAAAATTTACAAAGTCATATATTTGATGAGCTTGATTATCACTTCAATATTATAGGTCTTACCGAAACAAAGATCAGATCTAATAACTATGTTAATTGCCCGCAAATGCCAGGGTATGACTTCGAATTTGTACCAACTCCTTTGAGTTTTGGTGGAGTGGGAATGTATATTGATAAGTCATTAAGTTATGAAGTAATAGAAAAAAGTTCTAATGAAGCGTTTCAAGCATTATGGATAGAAATATCTTTTGTTCAAAAGAAAAATATTATTGTTGGAGTAATCTATAGACAGCATAATTCTCCGCATAAATTTAAAGAATATTTTGATGAGGTTATTGAAAAGTTTACAGCGACTGGAAAATCGTTATGTATTATGGGAGATTTTAATCTGGATTTATTAAAAATTGAAAGCTCTTGTTATAGCCGAGATTTCTTTTTATCTTTGCAAAGTTGTTACCTCATTCCCTCCATTGATAAGCCTACTCGGGTTTATAATAATTCTGCAACATTGATAGACAATATTTTCATAAATATGCCGGAACGAGTAACAATTAGTGGGAATATAATTTCTGATATAACTGATCATTTCTCTCAATTCTGTATTTTTAAATCAACTAAAGATAAAATAGAAATACCAATAAAGCAGCAACGACGTGATTTTTCACAATTTTCTGCTGTTAATTTTAACAATGAGTTGTCTCTCACAGATTGGGATGAAATATTCCTAAAAGGGGGATAGGGATATTGATAAAACATTTTGCTTTATTTATAAAAGAATTAATGCGATACTGAATAAACACGCACCAATCAAACTGATATCGCGTCGTCAAGCTAAACGGCTCTCAAAACCTTGGATTACTAAAGGAATAAGAACAGCTATTAAACACAAAAATCAACTATATGCTGACGGAAAACAGTCTGAGTATAAAATATACAGAAATCGAATACAAAGATTAATACGATTAAGTAAAGCTAACTATTATTGTGAATATTTTAACAAACATTTGACGAATATGAAAAAAACATGGGAAGGAATTAATACTATTATGAATCGTAAAACTCAGAAATCATCCTGCATTCAAGCTATCAAAGACCATAATAATGGTAATAGACTTATACGAAACGTAACCCATATCCCAGATATATTAAATAATCATTTTGCATCAGTTGGACATAAATTGGCTAACCAGTTACTAAACCCGCTAAAGCACTATTCCGACTTTCTTATAAAATCTAAATCTCCGCGAGATTCGTTTTGTTTTAATCTAATTACTCCTGTTGAAGTGAAACTTGAGATTTTAGCACTTCCAATCAACAAAGCACATGGTTTATATTCTTGTCCCTCTCAGATATTGAAATGTGCCAGCGATATTATTGGTTACGTATTGTGGATTATTTAATTTATCAATTGAGTTAGGAGTATATCCATCCAAATTAAAAATGTCAAAAATTATTCCAATATTTAAAAATGATGACAGGACTGATGCTAATAATTACCGGCCGATATCGCTATTATCTAATTTTAATAGACTTTTTGAAAAGATGATGTATAAAAGGATGCAGAGCTTTATTCAAAAACATGCTATCCTTTCTTCTTGTCAGTATGGTTTTCGAGAATTGCATTCAACTGAACATGCAATTCTTGATATTGTTAATACCATTCAGTCAAATATGGCTAAGAAATTATTTTCGTGCGGAGTATTTATTGATTTAAAAAAAGCTTTTGATACCGTTGATCATGAAATTCTTTTACAAAAATCATGTTACTACGGATTTAGAGGAATAATTAATGATTGGTTTAGTTCATATTTAAATGGTAGAACGCAAACTACACAAATTGGTAATCACATATCCAAAAAGGCTACAATAACGTGTGGCGTGCCTCAAGGATCGGTTTTGGGTCCATTACTTTTCTTGCTTTATATTAATGATATTGAAAATTGCTCTAAGAAATTTAAATTTTATCTATTTGCTGATGATACAGATCTACTCTATTCCGAAAAAGACCTTAAATCTCTTGAAAAAATTGTTAATGAAGAACTTTGCCATTTATATGACTGGCTTAGTTCAAATAAACTTAGTCTTAATTTAAAAAAGTCTAATTTTGTTATTTTTCATCCATATCAAAAGAAATTAGTATATCAGCCTATTATCAAAATGTATAATAACGAATTGAATGGATATACAGAGCTTAATTGTGAAGATTATATTAAATATCTAGGGGTTTTAATGGACAAGAATCTCTCATGGAAATATCATGTAGAACATGTTCTAAGTAAAATAAGTAAAACTGTAGGCATGATTTCAAAATTAAGGCACTTTGTACCTAAACATACTTTACTTAATATTTATAAATCGCTAATAGGTCCATATCTCTCCTATTGTCTTGTTATCTGGGGTCAGACAAGCAAGTCAAATTGGAGTAATATCTTAGTTTTGCAAAAACGTGTTCTTCGCTTCATCCATTTTTCAGATAAACGAGAACACGCAATACCTTTTTTTGTTGCTACAAATATTTTACCAGTAAATATCTTATTCTACGAAAATGTACTTACATTGATGCACGATGTTAAAAATAGAGTTGCACCAGTCAATATTCTCAATCTTTTCCAGAAAGCGTCAGATATTCATTCTTATAATACCCGTTCTTCAAAGTCAAATAATTTTTACATTAAACAATCGAAACTAGAAATGCAACGAAAGTCCTTTTCTCATGTTGGAGTAAAATGGTGGAATGAGGTACCATCTTGCATAAGAGAATTGCCAAAAAGAGCATTTAAGAAAAGGATACGTAGTATCCTTTTGGACATTTTACAGAATGAAAACACTTATCCGGACATAGAGTCGCTCAGCTGTAAAATTAAGAAAATATCACGCAATGAAGCCTCAAATTGAAGTGTTAACTCCCACTTTTTTCCCTGTTCTTAATTGATATACAGTATATTATTATTATTACTTTTTTTTTCTTTCTAAAAACGTTAAGTTTATTAATATGTAATTTCATTGAAAATTATTTCATATTATGTATATATAATTTGCTATATAATTAATGGCTTTGTAACTGTGTCACTATAGACAAGCCGCCTCGACTAGCTTTGTAGCTATTAGCGGCTTGTCTTGTTTTATTAATGTATGTACGTATATTATATGAATAAAAATTGAAATTGAAATAAAAAATTGTTTCTAACTTTACGGCTTTGAAGTGGAGCATGAATGTCAGCAACATAATTGAATGTTGTTTGAAAGTTCTCCCAAAGCATATTTGGATCATTTATCTCCCAATTTAAATTAGATAAAGCATGGTATAAGTCTTGGTTAAAGTCCGCTGTGTAGTTTTTAAAATTTCTTGACTCAACAAATTTGGGATCATTTTTTACAAACGAAATTTTTCTACAAACGTAGATCAAGCTATGGTCACTTATTCCAACATGCAATACTCCTGAGTGCGAAATCTTTTCAGGATTGTTTACAAGAGCGACATCCAAAAGAGAAGCTGTTTTTTCGGTAATTTGTGTAGGCTGGTCAATCAACTGTGTCAGCTGGAATATATTAACTATATCATTAAAACGTTTAGTGTGATTGCTTAAATTGTTGGATAAAAAATCACAATTTAAATCGACAACGATAATTAGTTCTTTATGTTCGTTGTCAAGGTTTTGAAATAATACTTCAATTTTATCAAGGAATTCAATTTGCGAATTCGGTGGCCTATATGCAGATGCAACTAAGACAGGTTTAGATTTAGGCTTAATAATTTCGAGGCAAACAGCCTCGACGTCCTCTGGGACTAAATCATCTCTATCAATTACATTCAAAATACTGCGATGGTAAATTGCAACACCGCCTCCTTGCCGATTACGATTTTTGGCAACCATGTTGTAACCGGGTATACTAACAGTATCTGTACTAATTATTTCATCCAAACGAGTTTCGTTAATGCTCAAAACATCCAGTGGTTCTTTTTCCAAGTATATTTTTAATTCATCAACATGCTTGACTAACGAAGCGATGTTTAAATACCCAACTCTAAATCCTTTCAAAGATTGTAAAAATGTAATGCTATTTTCACACTTTGTTTGTGGAATAATCTTCTCAATGGAGCAACTTGGCTCTTTTGGTTCGGTATCGGAAATTTTGCTGTAAAGAGTTGGAACTTTACCTAGGCTAAAAATTATGTAAATAACTAATAAAGTTTTTAGCTAAAGTAGAAGATCCTAACTTATTCAGATGCAATTTGTATCTATTAAGCGACTTACTGAGGATATTGTTGTTATGTATAATTAAATTTAAATTAGTCGCAATACAGTAATCTGCTAACAAACGATTTACCTCTTGAACAGTTGTTTTGGCCTTTGCATTGTCCTCTCTGTTGGTCAATTCAGACAATATTATTTCAACGTTGGGATCAATTTCTTTGACCTCTTGGCATAATTTGTCGATGTCATTAACTATCTCGCTTGCTTCTTTGTTAGTGGCGTTGTTTGTTCCCACATGTAGCATAACAGTATCTGGCTTTCGACGTAGCACGGGTTTTATATAATCGCTCATATCATCACCAACAGTCGCTCCTGGGAAGCATTTCACACCCACGTTCTGCTTTGCTGCTTTCGAAAGTTTGTGTTGCTGCAAACCTTTGACAATCGAGTCTCCCACTATTACAGTCTTTTTGTTGTTTTGTACTCTTGCTTGCTGATGCTTGCTTGCTGGCGATTTATCTTTGCCCTCGTTGCTTCCATCGCTGCCAATTCGGTTTTTTATCTGCATCTCGTCGATAATTCTGCAGGATTCATTGAGGTCATCTAAGACCAGAAAGTTGTTTTGGCACCATGTACATTCAGCTACTCTGCCAGTTGCATTGCCGTTTACATTTGATGTGATGTTACTGCTTATTGTTCTATTTCTGGTCTTCGGTACTGTATTCCAGCAATTGCCTTGCCCTTGGTCTTTAGTCTTAGTCGAAGGATTAATATTGTCAATGGATTGGTCTTGCATGAGAAGTTTTAATGCAAGATGAAGCGAATCTCGTTCGTCCTCAGCTCTCGTTGCTCGATCTTTTAGTATAGCATTTTTATGCTGTTCGTTTTTTAATTCAATTTGTAGCTTGCTTATTTCTTCGTTCGTACATTTAGTCTTTGTGCTTTCGCTCGACATTTGGCTTTGTAGGATGACTATGTCCAGTTTTATCCCTTCAATTTAGGTTGCCATTGATTTACATCTACAAGGACAGTTGTCGGTAGGTATGTTTAGGTTTTCGCTAGTAGATGATAAACTAGTAAATGGTTGCTGTTCACTGTCCACAGTAACAGCGAGGATGCTGTCGGATTCGTCTGGAAACCCGCCATTACCGGATATGTTTCCTTCTTGCTCAATGAAAGACTGCGGCTTTTCTTTGGCAAGTAGATCTATCAGTTTATTCTTTAAGCCGTCTGCATCCGTACCTTGAAATAACAAGGTGCATTGCTTCTTAAAATACTAATTTAGTATAAGTTGGCCATTTTCTTCCTTGAATCTTTTAGTACCGCCACCGGGCGACGACCATTTGCCTTTAATACCAAGACTATCTTCGACAATTTTTTTTAGTTCCGCAAAATCATTTCTCCATTTGAGCTTCTTTCCATCATATTCGAGATTGGAAAGGCCCTCGAGCTTTGATTTGGTCTAAACACTTCACAACCTTCATAAAAAAGTCAGACATTTTGTAGAGCTCTGTGAGACACGTCCGCACAGTCCGAGAGCAGTCCAAATCTACGCAATATATAAATTGATCTTATGCATTACGGCCGCTCAATTAATAAGTGTCGATAATATTTAAGCGGTATATTCATTATACAGAGCTAGGAAGGAGTTAGACCGCCTAGACAGTGCATTTAAGACTCAAGTGTATAAACATTTCAGACGTAAATATTGAGCCGAAAATCTTTGAGATTCTAGGCATTCAATTGAGTGCTGATATTATTTTCACGATATACTCATTAAACAGGGGTACAGTATGTACGAAGAAGCGAGACAGTGTTGTTTTTCAGACATGAATATTGAGAAAATCTTTGAGATTCTACGCAATAATATGATATATAAATTGATGAGTATGGTTACCTGCGTTCAATTAAGTGCCCATCAATAGACGATATTATTTAGGGAAGCCTCACATATCGATTTTTTCCATGAGAAACGTCATATGTTCGTTTGGGGGTGGGGGGTTGGCAGCTGTGACGTTTCTCTGTAAACATCATGGAAAAATTCGACAGTTTTTATCTTTGCAGAATATAAAAAAGAAAATAATTTGATACAAACAGCAGTCTATACATTCGTAATACCATACCTGTTCTATACCTATGCATTTATATTATTACGGCTTCCTTGCATTGTAAACACTCAAATTTCAAGAAAGGTGTGCTAAAATGATCAATATTTCAATTTCATGCAAAAAAGTTGTTTTGAGAAACGTTGGAAATTTTGAAGTTCATATTTATAATAAAAAAAGAGTATGTCATATTCCTCGCGGAAGCATCGCCAATAGCCGACCGAAAAAATGTATATAGAAAATTACCTTATTAATGTGTACTATAAGAACAAAATATCGATAAAATGTATGACGTTTCTAAGGGGGTGGGGGGGTGGGGGGGTCTCCAGAGAAACGAACATATGACGTTTCTCATGGACAAAATCGATATGTGAGGCTTCCCTTAGACCGTCTATTCATTATACATTGTTATTTGACTGTATAAGGTCAAACACACATCACATCATTGCCACATCACAGAATAGTACACTCAGGCAAAGAGCGAAAAATTGCATCAGATCAATAAGGCCACATAAAATAAATTCCTTGATTCTCATTACTAGACTTTGAAAATGTCGAAGAGCCGGGAAGTTTATATTTTATATTTATATAATTTATCATCAATAAATAAAAAACTGAAAATTCCTAACATTTAATATTTCTGTGATTTCCAAAGTGAAGTGTCACAAACCAAAATGAACATATTTCTCCACGAACAATGACTGAACCGTTCAACTGAATGCCAAGTTCCGTTAAAATGCAATGAAATTTTTTTCAAGGTTCTATTTGTTTGAAATTGGCAGTTTAAAATGGCACTAAAAACCCAATTTTAAATATAAAAAACTTAACTGTCTTGAAATATTTTGTTGGGCGGTTCATTTAATATATTGTATAACAAAATATAAAAAAATTTCACACGTCTCTTAAAATACAGTCGGGCGGTGATGAGAATCAAGGAATTTATTTTATGTGGCCTAAAGCATCAACAACTATTAAACAGAAGCGGGCGTTCGTACAGGCATTTATGAAGAAAATTTTGCGAGACGAAGGAAATCAGTTGAGTCAGAGCTCCTTATTTTAATAAGAAAGACGAGGAGATAGCCAATATGTTGTCGCCAACGTGTTATCGCCAATCGCTTGGCTCACCAACAAGCTTTATGCAATGGAAGAAAAAAGCAAGGAGGTACATGTAGCCAACGTGTACCCTCACGGACCTTGTTTACTGTCTAGCACAACGCCGTTGTCAACGGTGCAAATTCGTGTTCAGTGCAACGTTAACTCTACCAGATCTTACAAGAATTAATCTGTAGTATTCTGTACACAGGACTGTATCAAAGCTTGTCAAAACTGCTTTAAACACTGCTATAACTGTGAAACTATTGAAATCTAAAGTGACATTATTCAAAACATGCGAAAAGCTAAAAATAGACACAACGTGACACTGGGAAAAGTCAAAGGTCAATGTCTGCGTCGTACCCAGGCGCTTACATGAAGTATTCAGGTAGGCATCCGACGCGCGAAGGGGCTGTTGGGAAGGGTGCGTGCTGGGGAGCACCTGGCAGTTCTTGTATACTGTCATGGCGGGAAAACAGGGAATTTTATACAAAAAGTTACCATATCGTCATATACTCTGTTTGTAAAACCTTACTTTGTGATGAAGAGTTGAATTGAATGCCATTGGCAAATAATAATACATTTGTAGATGTTAGATGACATGCAAAATGCGCGAAAAATTATGAGTAAATAACATGACAAGTTAACCGTGCGAATATTTCAAATATGTCATTCGATATTACATGGAGAATAATAAAATGCTATCAGTTGCTCAGTTAGCATAAAACAGTAACAGAGAAATGATTAGAAAGTCATATAATTGCTCTTGTATTAATAACTTCTTTAGCTGAAAGCTCAATCAGTCGATCACAATGCCAATGGCAATTTCTATTAAATGTATACTGTAAACAAAAGCCCAAGTAAATAAAAGTTCACAGCTGTAAAGTTTGAAATATTTATTACAATAGTGCAATTTTATAGTCTGTACCTTTATATAGTTATAGCTTACAAATCTAGTTCCTGCAAGTCTAGTTCTTCAACGCTTTGGTTGTTGACATGTTAATATTGGAATTTCCATGGACTTTAAGGGCATATATATGTCATATATACCAAGAATAACAGCATGAATTCACGCCCGGATGACAGAAGATTCAACAAAAACAAGTAGCAAAAAATCGTAAACGACAATGAAATAGCACAACTTGCAAGAAATCGTACAAATTTGCAAGAAATCGACCAGGAACTGCCAGGCGTCTCGCAGTTCAAGTGCACTCTTCCCATCAGCCCCTTCGCCATCTCTCCCCACTACAATACTTCATGTAAACACATCATATGGGCATCACTGTTTTTTTACAAAGAGACGACTGGGTACGAGGCAGGGTCAATGTGGACTTGTTATTGTAAAACATGTCACAATTAGGTTAAAATGCGGAAGCGGATGGAGCGGACCACAGAACGGAAATGCAAAAAATACGGAACGGATGAAGATAAAATGCTTCCTTTCAATGATGTAACAACGTAGTGCTTATTTATAACATATCGTATACATCTATTTCAATTATAAGTTTGCAGTAGCCTTGTGCGGATGCTTTTAGCGACAGCTGCAATTGAAATTTCGAATTGTCGCGTGTAGCATCACAATAGATAGATAAATTGTATCAGTTTCACAAAGCACGTTTCTGATGTGTTAGGCTTGTTTCAAACGTCACGCTACTCGTGTGTCGAGCGCATTAAAAGCAATATATAATGAGATGAAATGCCGTTGGTGATTGTTTATTTCGTAGCGTAAGACATCAGTTTTTCTAGGTTGTCAGCGACCCTATATAGTTCTTGCAGAATCTTTTTCAATTTGAAACTTCACACTATCCTTGGATCCCTAGTTAAGATGTTTTTTGAATAATTGTATTATGAAACAAGATAATGTAAATATTGAAATTACATGTAAATAAATAAACATTAAATTGTAAATCAAGTCAACTAAATCATAAAATTGTTACAATATAATTCATAAATTATGTAAGTAAATTAATTAATAAATAAATAAACTTTATCCAATAATTTTAAAATGTCATTCAACAGGTTTTTGAACTTTTGTCCAAAACAACAGCACAAAGTATTTTACAAAATTCTACCACATGCATGCATGTAAACAAAACAAGTACTATCAAATCAGATATAGACTTACTAGGTGTGGTAAACATGTTAACAATTGACCTTTTTAATTTAAAGAAAATCCTCATTGTCAATAGGCATAGATGGGTCAAACAATTTGGGGCTATTTTGACGAGCAACATGGAATCCTGGTGACATTGCACGATGGTTGTAACTGACAGCTCCATGCGACCGACCCATCACAGCAGCAATACTACGGAATCCCTCAGATAAACTATGACCAATTGAATTAACAGATTCAGAAAGTGATTTTATTGCCTTGGCCTGCTGAATTTCACCTTCACTTATCTTGCTTATCATTTTTTCTTGTAGAACAAGCTCTTTCTCGGCTATATTAATCATTTGCTGGTCTGTGGTGATTTTCTTTTTCAATTTTTGACTTCTTAAGTCGGTGATAAGGTGACGGCGTTTGGTTGGCTGTGCTTTTGCTTGTACAAATAATTAATCTCCAGAGCAATTCTCGTCGGAATCAAGTATGGTGTTTTCCTGTTGACTTGGTTCAACATTTTCTTGGTTTACCATTGTGCCACTGATAGGCTCAGGACCATGATGATTAGTTTCAATACCTCTAGGTATTTGCTCGGCTGCAGCATTCCCCCCAAAAACATCCTGACAGAGGTCGTAGAACTTGAAAACTTGTCTACCCCCACCACTTTTCTTCCCAGCTCTCACAGCAGTTGCATATTTATTTCTCAATTGTTTGATTTTACGAGAAAGTCTAGCAGGATTTTGTTGAAACTCAACTACTTCATGTGGATACTCGCCTTCGGTTTGATCAACCAACATGGTCTCTCGTTTCCTATGATGATATATAACATACAAACATCCGTGCACATATGATGCTATGCATCATATACGCGCATTTTTATTGGAATGAAGGGGATATGGACCATATGGCGCGAATTTTAATACGAATTTTTATGATAATCAAAATGGCCGACGATTTCTCAGTTATTGACCAAGAATCACAAGACGAAAACGTTGCATCGTGTTACCAAGTGGAAACTAATTTATATGATAAAGGTGGGTAGTTAAATAATTTTGTTAATATTCCAGCTGTGTTGCCTATATTTTTTCGTAAAATAATGCAAATGTTATGTAAATATATTCAAATGAGATTCAATCATCTGTGACTGAGTGTCTATGCTAGCAGCGACTCTTTCCCGTCAGTTGAGGGCAGGTATAAACGTCCACAATGATTTTGCAAGTTACTCTGGATAAGGCCGAACCATTTTTCTTGTCAATGACAAAGCCAAAGACCGAAAAAGAGTTATTGTTGCCTATGTTGTATTCGCTTGCGAGTGTTAGGAGTGTATGGCACGAATAAATATATTAATTCCCGACTGCTCGCCACGACCTATAAACAAAGGCAGCCCACTAAACGACTGAATTTAAATTAAAACTACAATGAAATTATAAAATTTAACGAAAATAATCACAAAGTAGCGAAATATATTGCAAAATGTAGCTTATATTAAATTTAATATACGTCAGTTCGCCGATAGGTCAATCGAGTGGAGATTTAATTTCATTGTAGTTTTAATTTAAATTCAGTCGTTTAGTGGGCTGCCTATGCTATAAATAAAGAGAATAATTATAATAAATTTTCGATATTTATTCTTTACATTGGGCCCTCTGCACTCTCAAGACTATAATATGCAATAATTCACTCATTAATCTTGAATGGTCTGAGGAGAATGCTACACTGTACCACTGGTCTCTTCCTCAGATTGACTGTACCTTATCTTAAAACCAGAATTAGGGCAAGTACTATAGCGCATGGGTTAAGATTATTTTCCGTAATAATTTCCATCAATTATTTGTTTCAAGTGGCCGTTGGTATGTGCAGTCAACCTGAGCGAGAGACTGGGCTGTCTGTACGTTCAGTGGTATTAGAGATCTTTTATTGAAGTTTTGTGTTTTCTTAATAGTGTAAATTTCTAGTTATAATTTATGTGCGGGGTTTGCCCTGTTGGGACTTCGGGTCCGTTCGCAGATCCCATATCTAACTCGCCTTTGTTGTATAAATGTCTTTTGTTTCGTTCTCATTTAGCATTGTAAATTTCGCGAGTTTGATTAAAGCTTTTTATTATTGTCTGTGCCAGTCTAACAGTCTTTTGATAGCGATATCTATCCATCCAAAATTTCCCAATATTTTACTCATAATACAAGTTACATAAAAAATAATTCCAGTCTACTTATTAACTGGACCACAAGCAGTCCCTCGGGAGAAAGGAGGGACCGCCGAAACGAAATATGCCCACTTTTTGGGTTGAACCACAGGTTGAACCTTCCGTGGACTTACAAGTAGCTCTATACGTATGTGCATGTGAAAATAGAATGTATGCATAGTTTCAATCAATCACTTGAGAATTATAAGACAAAGACACTGCGGCCATGTTGGAGGATGAACCCCCTGAATACAATAAGTGCTAATGAGATTATTTTGTTAAAGCACTTCCAACATGGCTGCCATGATGTTGAGTGCAAAATATGTGTACTGTAATTTAGGTGCTGATAAAATGAGAAAAATTCAGCCTGGGCTGAAATTTCAGCCTGTTTATCAAAGTATGGGAATGAGGGAGAATAAAAAAAAACAAAAAAAAACTGGTATTACTAATACATATTAAAATCAAGCCTGCTAGATAATATAGTGATATAAGCACAAGCTTGCGATGCACTGGGTGCTGGTTGTTGTTATCCAGTCAGATACCGGATATTTAAGAGAATAAGCAAAAAATAGGCAAATGAATTAATGGACAGGGACTAACTTTTTTCTCTTTGCTTTATCAGCAAATATAGTGAAAGGTGAGGGCATAAGATTAACCTTGTTTTATAAAAACAAGTTATCTTGGATACAGTATCCATTCATGAGTTCACCCCTAGCACTAACAAGCACACACAACCATAAGCAAGCATTAGTCTTAACTGGACTTATAAACAGGACTTATTTAAAATACAGATAAAAATACATTTATTTGATCAACACCTAGTTTGTTAACACACATAAATCAACTTGCCTGATTTCAATGCTATTACACTTTTCATTAATATTACAATTGCCAAGGCCCAAGCGCAATATCATACACGGAGGACAAAGTTTATGTTGAAACGTTAGATATTTTTTATATATACCAAAAGGCCAACCATCGTGAAAATCTCGCGTTGGTTCCTCGCACGGTCCGCCAGAAATAGTGATTTTTTAAAAATTAATAATAAAAAAAAATCCATATGCAACGAAAAATGGATGTGGGTGCTGATGAAAGACCGGGATATTTTTATATCCTTAATATGTTTATTGTGAGTATGAGAACATTGAACAACAAAGGGTGACAAAGTTAGGGGGTTGAGGCCATTCTCTCCTGATTTTTTTTAAAATTTTGTTTTGTAAAGGCTACTTTGAGTGGCCATGGGTCTGGGAATATCTTCTTTTTACAAGCTAATGCAACCTTTCTATAACTTTAGACCTTAGCTAGTAAAGTATCTGACACTACTGACAGTGTGTGCTTAAACGTAACTGAAGCTGAATGTTCCCAAAACTTGTGCTTTTAAGCGTACACGTAAGTTAGCTAGGATTTTGTACGTGACTCAGGCTGTGTGGGTGATGTAAAAACAACAACATTTTGAATTAAACTTAAATTAACCATTCTTTGCATTAAATTGTTATAACATGAAACTTTAGTATTTTTGCATAAGTGAACATAACAAATCCTACAAGTTGATTTGTCAAATGTGACGTACTAAGCTGTTATATTCACCTACAGGTGAATATAACAAAACCGAAATTTTCAAAATGGCGGCTAGCCGTTTTGTGGAAGTTACTGATAAAGAAATGAGCGAAATTAAAATAAATTCAGTCCCAAAAAAACACAAAAGACCTGTGTAAAAATACTAAAACAATTATTCGCCTCAGGTTCGGTGATTATTTTGGGAATATTCACCTCGACTTCGTCTCGACTCTCGATGAATATTCCCTGATAATCACCCCGCGTTCGGCGAATAATTGTTAAATGTTTATAACGAGTACAGTATACAGGACACGCTTTATTTGGTACATATATACTAAATACTCTTACCATTGGAGGACAGATCTGTATGTTAAAAGGTTTATAACGATCTAATTACATAAAATAGTAAATGTCTGTACAAGTTTTACTTTGTGCACTTTTCGTATAACTGGTCTCATGTAAAAGGCCTTATTGTCTTCAGATTTGTCTAAATAGAGTAACTGTATTTAAGAGTTGACCCCCCACCCCCCACAACATTTGGAAAGGTATTAAAGACATTGTAACCAAACAAGGATCGCAGATGCAAATAAGCGCGCTCTTTTCCTTTCTTGAATTAACACCTTTACCTGTGTAAAGTCTCTTCAAATTCTAGTCCCATCAGAATGCTGAGCGTTGCATTTTCCCATCTGTGACACGTTGGCCTCCATTTAAAAACCTTGTCTATGCATCTACTATACTGTATACCCTTAATTCAGCATGAAAACACTTGCACATGCTTTTTTGTTAGATTTTCATGAATGGAAACATGAGAGTGTTGTTTTCTATATAATATTAAATACGTGACTGTTTCAAATTACTGTATCTACCCAACTTAAAGCTACGTTTACACGCTGCGATTTGTCGGGCCGATTTTGGTAAATAATCGATGCCCCTTCTTCGACATTTAGCGATTTAAACGTTCAATTGAAGCTGTCCGCTCTCTCGTCTGTTCATATTATAGTTTTCTGCGTGCGAAAAGTTTTCAACAACTTTACAACGGAAGAAAAATCGTTGAATCGTGAGAAAAATCTGTGTTTTTGTTACAGATTTTTCTCCCGATTTTGTGAATCGCAAGGTGCTGACGCGAGTACTCACGACAGGTTGTTTACATACAGCGAGCAAAATCGGCCCGACAAATCACAGCGTGTAAACGTACCTTAAGGTAGTTTAAGAATACCATATTTTTTTTTCAGTTCAATGGTTTGTTAATTTTTTATGGTATACTTAGCCAATTTTGTACTCAATTTTTTAACAGCCAGCTGCGAGAAGAAATGTGAAGTGTGTGGTTTTTTAAACCACATTCGTAGAAATGATTGCTCAAACTGCAGTTGTTCTTTTCCAAAACGGAAAGTAAAGGAGATTGTTCGAAACAAGCAGCCAGCCTCAAAAACGAAAGAAAGAATGCTGTCATATGTAAGGGATCGGATTTTAACCCATTAAGGGACAAGGGCACATCAGGGCTCTTCATCAAGGTGAATAAAATCATCTGGTATTGGCAAAAACAAATGCGAAGTGTGCCCTTGCCTTTTAATGGCTTAAAAATATTAATATTGTATAGTATCTAAAAAGTCTCTGTTTCTTCCAAATTGAACTCCTATTCCTAACCATGCTATTATCTATACTTGTACTAAAACAATTCAACAACTCGCCATTGTTTTCTATGAGCCGGGGGTGCATGTAGTACCAGTGAGCACTTTCCCCCATCTTGGAAGATTTGCGTTCTTTCTAATTCCAATCTCTTTTTTCCTTTCTTCCTCCTTTCCAATTATTCTCTGAGTACTCAAACTTGAGTCTTGAGAACATTCTCTAAAATAACTTAAGTATATGACATGTTCGACTTCAAGTCATGTTCAATATAATACAAAAGTACTGGCGTTTTTTCATTTTGTACTGACGATTTGAAGTTGAAAACACTAATTTTATTTATTTTAACCTTACCTAGCCTATAATGAACATTCAAGATTTTAAAACTGCTTCTATTATTTAAAATGTAGGCGAAGCAGCTTCACCTAAAAGGTTATGACGTGGTCATCATGACCAGGCGAAACAACAGGTCGACGTATGGCTCTACATGGGTGTGGGGTACTGAAGGAACTGGAGCTGCATTTGCAAAGACGAAAATTTTCTCTTTGGCAGCAACTGGGTTTGGTAATTTTGTTATGCACACATCCGCTTCACAGACACAAACAGTCAGTTCATCTTCTTCTATTCAAACATATTCTCCCTGCACAACGTCAGCCGTTAGTTGTGTCGTTGACCCATCTAATTGTAATCTTATACGAGAAACAATTTCAGCAGGACCAACATACGCTCTCTCATCGGTTTCTACCCACCTGCCGCTTCCTGACATACCGTCCCAAGCTGGATCGTCATTGTCTGCGCAGGTACAAGATATATCAGCCTCGTCAACTATAAATCGTCCGCGTGACATCGTCGTCCAACAAACACCTCACCCCAGCACAACGTCAGTAAGTGGCTTTGTTGTTGATCCACCGTGTGCTATTACACTACAAACAACTTCTATTGTAACAACACAAACTGACGTTCCTTCACCTGCTTCCACCCAAAGATCGCACCCCAACGTAACGTCACAGGCCGGACCTTCCACCAAGTCATCATTGCCTGCGCAATGCCTGCAGGGAATACCAGTTCCAACATCAAGTCATCCTCGTGCTCAGCCAAATGTGTCGTCTGATACTGCGAATTTTCAAGGTTAGTGCTTTAATTAATATACATTAATATATAATCTTTGTTCACTGTTCACTGTTCAAAATGCACGCACATCATTGGTAAAAATCGATCACGTGTGTTTTTGTTACCTGGCAACAACGAATCCTGCGAATGCGTTATTGACAATAACGCATAAAAAATGTGCATTATTGAAAATGGCTGACAGCGAGGCTGCCGGCTCAAGGTTTGCTCGAGTCGATGAGGAAGAAATTAATCAGATTATAGAGGATGCAATACCTAAAAGTACGAAAAGACAAATAAGCTGGAGCATTGCTATCTTCAGAGGTCAGTAAACCAAGCAAAAACTTATATTATTCGCCATTTTTCCGTGTGTATTAAAACAAGTGCTTGAAAAGTTGCATGCAAGCAGTGAACTCAGATTATATATTAAATTGGTTAGAGACTGTAAAGTTCGTGTTTTGTTTACAAATATACGCTTTTGCTGATCGTACAATGAATTCGAAATTTTCAATACAGACTGCATTAGGCTTCGCCTCGTGCAGTATTGAAATTTCTCGTTCATTGTACGATCAGCGCGTGCGTATATTTGTCAAAAACACCCACAGCAGTCTCTAACCTTTAATAAAACATAGTTACTACAAATCCCTTTTTTCTTTAATGACCTGTGAATAGCTAGCTTTGTAGCAAGCTTTTAGCATGTCGTTTTCAAGTAGTCGTATGTCGCTTAATTGCTAGTTAATGCGGAAAAGTGAAGTTACATTCATCAAATTACGTTCGGGCAGGCCCGTAAAACCATGATGGTGAAATCTGTTTAAGATTTATGCACAGTCATTAAGTCTAGGTAGGTAAGTAAAACTTTATTTAACTACGCTAACCCCCCTGCAGCAAGAGCTGATTTCCAAGAGGGGCGTAGATATGAATTTTAACCAATTACATTACAAATTTACAAAATACAGTCATTACTCTTACAGTAATTATAATTACTATTACGGTCATTACAATTACAATCATCACACTGAGCTTAAAACGTGGTATAAATAAATAGTAAAACAATTAAAATATGAATATCGTGCATGGATATTATTTCATTAATTGCCCAGGTGTCATAATAGTTGTAAGTAAAGCGTAGATATCTTATACAGCTATTTCAATTAAGGTTGTTCACGAGCAAAGCGGAAAAGTCGAATACGAGCGCGAATAGCTGTTGGGAATCGCTTTGAAAATTCATTAATTTGTTAGCGATTCCCAGCAGCCTTTCGCGCTCGTATTCGATTTTTCCGCTTTGCTCGTGGACAACCTTAATTGAAATAGCTGTATACACTAGATAGCGTATCTCTTTTAGTAAAATTGAAGCCAAGAATATTCCAGCGGTTACCCCCATTTGAATAGATGGCGGCCATGTTGGTGTCTCCCATTCCTTAATAAACGCTTAAAAAACAACAATAACTTTCATCATTTGAATAGTTTGAAAATGTATTTGGAATAGGTTTAACTTAATGTTTTAAGTTCCCTGTTTAAGAAATAGAAAACATACCATTCTTTTCATTTCATAGGAATATCCTGAATCTGCAAACACGGCTTCAATTTTTGAATTGCAGAATAATAGACCTTTCCAAGGTTAACGACGCCATAATGAAACACAATAGTGCAAGGGGTGCAAACACAATGGAATTCCCTATAGGTAAATTTGCAGGGGGTGCAAACACAATGGTGAAAACAATGGATTCAAGATGGCGTCGTTAACCTTGGAAAGGTCTATTAGATGCACTATCTAGTGTATATAAGATATCTATGAAGTAAAGGCAGTAAGAGATCTCTTATTCCTTAATTCGTCTGGGAGGCAATTCCACAATTTTGTCAAGATATTCAGTCTTAGGATTGGGCAAGTGGAATTTAGTGGAGGAGCCTTGTAAGTTATAATGCCTAGAGTAACATGTTAGTCTTTTGAAAGATGTCAGTCCATAGCCTATCGAAGGGAAGATGGCTGTGAAACTCATTAGAATAACAATATAACTCATCTATGTTAGTCAACGTTGTATTTTTACCCAACTAACGAATAGCAATGTTTTAGGAAAGTTACCTATCCGTGACTCGAACAATTGCGAAACTGGAAATTGCTATTGGTGGATTTGGCAAAAATATAATACACACGTCACGGTGAAGGACCAGATTTATGAATAAACGTTGACTAACATAGATAATGAGTTATATTGTTATTCTAATGAGTTTCACAGCCATCTTCCCTTCGATAGGCAATGGTTAGTCGTTTTGGCGGTAGATCATGAGTTATTTTGTACATTAGACTTGCTACAAACTAGAGTGTTCACTCTAGTATTTTACGTAATAAACAAACATGCATTAAAAAATAACGTACATTTCAAAATCATCTGTTTTCCGTGTACCATTTTTTTAAAATGTCGACCAAATGAATATAAATCTTGCATTAAAGGCCTTATGCAACGAATTTTTCGATGGTGAGATTTTTGCATTACGTTATAGAGTTCTTTGCACTGGTTCGAAAGATGCAAACCGTTTTCCGAAACTCCAAGTAGCTTTATTTTTATAAGCCTTCAAAGTCGCAAATTTTGCCTCTTTCTTTGCGAAAAAAAAAAGACCTTTGGTGATCAGTGGTGTGACGTCACAGTAATGAGTTGTTTTCGACGGACCTTATGTAAAACATGTTAATCCTTTGTTTACACACAGCACGACTCATTACTGTGACGTTACAGCGCGAAACAGTTTTTCGCAAGAGGGACCCATCTTTAAACACAAAATTCACCAACTTTTAGTTTGAATTTCGCATCGAGATTGGTATCAAAATGATCAGAAAAGGTGAAATTTTAATAATGTGTAAAAACCTCACCATCGAAAAATTCGTTGCATAAGGCCTTTAAACGAAGTTACTTGAGAAAAATTGGAGATGTACATAACAAAAATAAATTAATAGGAGTGAGAACATATGAAACATTTATTATTTCCAGGCGACAAGATATGCAGTCAGCACCTAGTCCCTGCGCGTTTGAAAACCATTTCCATCTACGTTGGTCTAAATGAACAACTGCTTTGTATAAATACTCAACTGTGTTTACAAACGTGTGTTAACTTTTTTATTAACGTTTCAGGTCAATCAGTCGCCCTATTGGATGAAAAACGAAGAGCCTATGCGTACGGAGTTGTTACTGGCCAGTCAATCGTCCACAGTATGGCAGTTCCACCAGGATGTCTGGCTGTGAATGTGTCAACAGTTTTACCAGAATGTACTCTTTCGCCTGCTCTGGGAAATTCTTTCGAAGAAGCAGTTATTAGGGAAGGCCGATTATACATTTGGCCTATGACAAGACTTGCTCTTCCTAGTCAATTACGGCCTATTACGAAATAGTAGCTTCCATGCAAGTACAGTATAAGTTCTTGAGGAAAGCGAAAGTTAGCCTGCATGGATACCATACAATCTCGGTTATCTAAATCGTGCCGTAAAATTCTTATTGATCGAATTATATTATCAATCACAAATGCAAATCCCAAAGTGTGTTATTCGCTTATTTGGATATCGGATTACTGACGCAGTATTTGGATATCGGACCACTTGATCAGTTTCCTTTGAAATCGTGAAGAAAGTAGTGTTAATGTGATTGTCTTTTCTGCATCACTTCATTCCAAATGGACGAAGATTTAAAATTGTATAACGTTCATGCTGGCTCTACTTTTTTCTTCGTGGAGGCTTTGTTCTCTGTGCCTTCTCTATGTTGAAAGGTCTATAGTTCCTCTCATCCTTAAATTAGATAGAAAAACTCACGTAAAACATTACTTTTTTAAATGTTGTTTTATTTTTTAATATTGAAAAATACAGCTAACATGACAGTCCCTATTATGTTCTAAACAAAACTTAAATGTTTTTCTTCGTAAAGGCCTGATTCCACGCGCGCTTTTTCTCGGCGGAATGCGAAATATTTCGCATGTTTCTTTTGAATTGTGAGCAATCAAGTAGAAATAATTTATCCGAGTGGTCGCAATTCAAAAGAAACAGGCGAAATAATTCGCCTTTCGCCGACAAAAAGCGCCCGTGGAATCAGGCCTTAATGCTTTCTTAACGCTGTCCTTTCGTAACGCCAACTTTTGCCGTTTTCAATATGCGTTTTTAACTTTTTGACTCTACTCAGCTCGCGATTATTTCTGTGTTTTCAAGGATTTCTTTCATTTCGGCACTGTTTGAAAGAACAAATTTATTTGACTTTGCCGAAAATAAATAACTGTTAACCCAAGGGTTATGTTGTAAACATACAGCGGCAGGATCCTATTGTAGTAGTTATTTTTTTCTCTTTAGTGGCCCTTAGGCTTGTTTTATACGTCGAATTTCGGTCGCGTCGAATGCAATTCAAACAATAGATAATGAAGCTTTGGGGTTTATTATCTCATCTATTGTTTTAATTGCATTCGACGCGACCAAAATTTGACGTATAAAACGGGCCTTAAAGGGGCAATGTCACCGATTTTTGAGCAATTCTAACCCTCGCAAATTTTGCCCAAAACTGAAAAAGAATGAGTGTAAGCACAAAATAAAGCAATAACAGACACAAAAAACATGCACAGAAATCTGGATGGGCAAGATTACACCAGGATTGGGATGGATTGTAAACGGCATCTTGATTAATTGTTGGCCCGCAGACACTTTTTCAAGTTTTAGTCAATTTTTACGAAAATGACATGTTGCGTGGAAGTTCAAAGTTGTTTAATATGACTCATATATCATAACTTAATCCATTTACAATGTTTATTTTTAACTTTGTAGTTCAGTTTTTTAGTAAAAGGTATTTTAGGTAAAAAATCGGTGACATTGCCCCTTTAATTCATCAACGCTAAGTTTTTAAACTTTGTTAATCCCTTGCGTATCATCCAGGTGACTTTGTTCATGATGAAGGCGTTTATCTCGAACTTAATAACTCCATTATTTTAATCAATTTTAAAACACCACTTCGCAAATGCAAACAACTGTGGCTGGATGATGGAAACGTAATGATTGCATGAAGTTTTTTCTGACGATTTTTGACGCAACGTGTTCTCATGTTGCATCAGAGATTGCGAGAAAAATCAATTCATGTGACATCACCTTCAGGTTGGTTCGATTCCAACCCACAGATTAGCATGTACGTGTAAGTAAATTAATTTGACTACTGTAAAGGTTTCATTTGATCCGTTCATGATCAGCATAGTTTCTTCGTCTATTTCCATGGAAAGATTTCTTCAGATTTTTTCATTGAAAGAAATTCTCCTCTACATATATCAGGCGCATAAATTCCAAACAAATGAGAATGATTACACGTTTTCAGTACGCTTCATGCTTGCAAACGAAAAGGGCTTGCTGAACAGTAGTGTATGGATGAGTCTGATTTTGGATCACACTACATCTAACATGTTACTTTTGCATTTGGGTATTTTTGTATTTAATTGAGGTCAGGTCGGTCGTTCGAGCATTAGTGACCCCTTTCTTTACACAACATTAAGTGAACAACAATAGGTCTAATTAATGATTGAAACTCTCTTTCATTTCACTAAATGATATGTCCAACAAGAAGTGAGTCCAATGGGACTGAATAACACATTGCGCTAAGCAAATCCTATTGTAACACCATTCGTGCTAGCCTCGTCTTGGTGTTAAGTTAAAGTAAAAAACGCATTTGTCGAATCTGAATCCCTCATACCAAAATTGATCAGTGATTATCGCTGGATCCCGAAATCATATATATTTGTTTTGAACATCAACCGCTTGCCAACCAACCCTAGAAAATGACTCGGACCTAGAAAGGTAACCTGCGATCAGGCCTATAAATAAATAAATAGGCCTAATAAAAACCTTACCAAAAGTCTATGGCTTACAACCGCATTTCGGTTGTAAATCTGATTGGTCTATGAGACAAAGAATTTTTTAATCTGTCATTTGATGGGTTGGTGCAGCTAATTAGATCAGTACTATTGTTGATGATATATTTTATAGTGATCGCAACTATAATTAGATTGTTGTTGTCGTTGTGTGAAATTTAAATTTCTCCTGCGATATTTTGATTAGATACTAAATATAGACTTTGCCGTGTGTGGAAAGCTATATGATTAAGGCTTGTGTCAGTCTATATTTGCCTTGAATAGAGCTACAATCAGGAGCAAAAATAATGAGACTTTTCACGTTTTTGGCCAGCTGGTTTCAAGTACGTCGGCCTCCCCCCTCCCCCCATGATCAATGTTGGAAAAAGCGGATTGAATTTTCTCTTTTCAGTCATCCACACAACATTGAATTGGGGGTGCGGGGGGCATTTATGCGTTTGTCTCAATACTTTTTGCTCCTGATTGTAGGCTTGATCTCAGGTTATAAGAAATGTGACTGCTGATCATTGTCATATGGGTGGTAACGTCACTTAAGGTGGCTCTGCTACGTTGGTTTCAAAAAAGTCGTCTAAAGTGATGGGAAAACATATGGCGCTGAAAAATGACGTAACAAGAACGTTAACGGCTGTGCAAGTTATAAAATAGAAATATTAAAATGCGGCCCATAAATCTTTGCCAGTGTTTAAAAGCGTTAAATATTCTGCGCTAGCTATGTTGAAAGGTCTATAGTTCCTCTCATCCTTAAAAAATTTAATGTTCGACTATGATATTAATTTAAGCACATCCAGTAGTCCGGCACCAATGTAGCAGTTTATCATATTATGTTAAGGTGGCTCCACACGGGTGCCTAAAAATAGTTTATTTCAATGTTTCGGCAATTGCGAAAAATCCGCTGCTCTAATTGGACACATGACAATGAAGAAATATAATAGAAATAGAAAAACAACTTGCCAGCGTTGTTTTCATGTATTATCTAAAAATATGCGTCTTTGCATCTAGTATTAGGACTTGCCTGATAGTGCCCAATGGATCGTTGATACAAAATTCCAAAATTGTTACGTTTTAAAAATAATCGAATATGGCGCTAATTATTAAGACTCGACCCAGTCCCCAAACGCTCCATTTTTAATAACTATTTAATAATTAATGTAAAATGTTACAATCTCGTGCATAAATATTGCACGCACTCTTGAAAAATTATAATAAGCATAATATGTTCTAACCACACCCCTTGTCAGGGGGTTGATGGTAATATTTTTTAAAGGAGCATGCGACCGAGTAATTTTGCGATTTCTCAAAATCCTTCTGGAACTTTATATAACATTTGATGTGCATTAAAACAGTGCGTAAAAAGTTAGCGCGAATGGCTTGTCTCAGTCCCCAGCGCCAAGAATAGATTTTTCGCAAAATGTCAAATTATTCAGAGCCACCTTAAGTAAATTAAATAAGCGACATATCGCTCTGCAGAGCTTCACTTGCTGTACAACATATTTGAAGAGAAACGCTTTTCCTGTCGAGGAAGTCGTAAACAAACGTGAATATATTTGCGCATGCGCTATGAAGTCACTATGACCCCTTACGATTTACATGTCGGAGAAAACAAGAGGCATATCTGTAATCAGCGTTAAAAGTTATATGGACAACCAAATTTTTAGCTCCATAGGCCGATAGGAACTATATAAATTTTTTGTAAAATTTGTGTAAAATTGCCTGAGTTAGAACGTAAATGCATAAACATTTCCTGCATTTTCTATCCCAGATCGAGATTCATTTGGGACGTATATATACTGCAGGACCGAATGAGTTGAAAATTTAGTAATATGGTATATTTATGTTTCTTGAAAGGTAAATTATCAAAGGAAAATATGAAAAAATCAAACACAAATATGGATTCGTCGTTGTAAACTTGAACGTTAACACACCTAACCTGTTTATATACTATATACCACTGACTGCTATAATTATACCCATATATACTGTATAGAAGTTGTACATGTACAAGTTACCCCGTTTTTACAGTGAAAGAAATTGACCAATTCGGATAAAATTTTAATACGAAGCTTCTCTCCTCGTTTTAAAACTATGGTTGGAAAATAACCAAAAATATGGATTTAGTCGATATGAACTATAATAACCCAACACCTAAGCTGTTCATCTATTATATCATACACCAGCTTTGCACAGCTTATATTTTTGAAGTAGTTGTATACAACCTGGAAATATTTACATTATTTTATAATAACTGTAAAAAAACATATGTGGCCAATTGCTTGAGCACCAACTGATTCTCAAAACGGCACACAAATTAAATGCTCAAATAAGAGTTACTGGATTACTTAGAATTAATTGAGAATCAAAACAACTTTCAATCAATTAAGAATGTGAACGAACATTGAAAGTGAAACACAAGCGATATGGATATAAATTTTTTGTGTGTGTTTTGATGTTATGTACTCAGGTGAATATGTTTTTGAGAACACCCTGTTATAAAAAAAACGCAATCTCGGAATTTCCTAAGAAATCACTTTGCAATTCTTAAGCATAAAATATTTTAGGTCCCTGGGAATTGAAATCGAATCGCTAATACAGGGTGTCTCAAAAAAACCCAAAATCATTGAAATAACGTATTGTTCGAATTTCAATGCCGTAACACAAAGGATTTTGACAGGGTGATTAATTTGTTTTAAAAAATTAAAATATCTTTGTAAAGTGAACGTTTGTTTGCTCATGGGAATTTAAAAATGCTTCGTAAATTGTAATATGCGTAATATGCATTCGTGGGTTTAGTACTTTATGCCTGACATAACAAGTTTACGCTGAGTATTACCATTCATTATAGCAGTTATGTCAATCTTTTATGCACTCGTGGGATTAACTTAGTGCTAGGGCATTGAATATCGAACAATACGTCAATTTCAATGATTTTGGGTTTTTTTGAGACACCCTGTAGATCATATTGCTGTTGTTGTGCATTAAATAAATGCATACATTTTGCTTTATGCACTCGCGTGTGCAGCAATTTTAACAGTTGTGCTATTTTAAATTCCCAGGCGCCTAAAATCTTTTGTCTTTAAAACAATGTCGATTTCTTGGGAAATTCCGAGGTTGCGTTTTTTCTTTATACACCCTGTAACAGGGTGTATCAAAAAAAGGTAATCGAACTTCTGCGCGCTATTGTATCTGAATTACTCTGCGTATGAACGATATTTTTTCACATTCGGAAAGATCATGCTTTTAGCTGTTGAATGATATCTTCTTCGTGCCAAATGGATAAAAAAATGAGCAAATACGAATCAGAGGTGAAAATATGCGATTTTGACTAACATTTTCAATCGGCCTCGTACATGCTTATTTTTTCTCCACTTGTCATGAAAAGCATGTCATTCAATAGCTAAAAGCCTGATCTTTCCGAATATGAAAACCGATTGTTCATACGCCAAGTAATTCACGTATAATTGCGCGCTGAAGTTCGATTACCTTTTTTTTTATACACCCTGTATATTAAACATTGACTTATAAGAAATTAAAATATCTTTGTAAAGCGTACGATTTTCTGCTTTTGGGAATTTAAAACAGCTTCTTAAACGATTTCTTTATGCCTAAAATTTACTTACATCAAGCTTTGATGCACGTGTTGGTTCAGCAGAGTGCTGAGGCATTCAAATTCTAACAATACATTTATTTCAATAGTTTTCGTTTTTTTTGGGACACCCTGTACTGTAGAAAACATGCTTAAAAGGCAATTAATTATGAAATATGTAAGTACAATAGTCGTTGTGAAATGTTTGACGAGGAAAGCAACGAAGAAGTTTGGATAACGCAAAGTTGCTACTCCAAAACTCATTGTGCTATTAATATTGACGACTTGGTGACTTTTGAAAACGAAAAGCACTTTATCACGGCTGCTGAATTGCACAAAGATAATGTTTGTCGAGCTGTGACACGCGTTAGTGATTTTAATTTGGCTGAGAGAATTAAAGATAGAATTCCGAATGCTGCTAGAAGCAGCACGGATTTGGCTGTCGGTGTATGGCAAGAATTGGCTGGACGAAATCGTTAGTGGCAAATCAGTTTTGTTTCAAGAACGAGGAAATTAAAGAAGACCGTCGGTGTTTCTGCAGAATTGGCGAGTCGTTCTGGAAATGTGGTAACGTTCCAACACTGCAGTGGGAACATTAACAATTTCAACGTGCCTGTGATTTGTTAGTACGTAAAATCGGTCAGTTGAACGAAATTTGGCCATGGTGTAATCATAGTTTGAATTATCTTAACCAATTGTAAAAGTTAGATTCAGATTTTTTCTGCCGCATACAGAAATTCGTCATTTTATCTTTCCAACAAGAAAATCACACTTTTGAGTACTATTTATTTATTGTCGATTACGTAGGAAGTGGTTGCCCAGCACCATGCATGCCCATGTCTGTATGAAACGCCTGACATGTTTGTCATATATCCATGTTTGCTCTATCCATTCTGTTTCTTGTCTCATAACCCATCCCGTTGTTGGGTTTAATTTGTTAATATATAAAGTGGTGAAATTAAAACAACTTGATTGAAATCATATCAAACACGTTTTGTCATTGTTTCGTTAAACTCTAACGATGTGTATAATAATATAAAACTGTAAAAGCTAAATTGACAAATGTGTTAACATTACTGTGGATCGGAATCGAACCGAACTTTAATCAACCAGACACAGTTTAAGATGTTAGTAAAGGCACCAAATTGAGATTCTAAGATTGTCATCAGAAGTTGTTTAACGGTGACACTATACTACTTGTTGAGAATGAATTGTGGCGACTATACAAGCTTGACAATTAAATCACTACATCATATGTAGTTCATAAAATATACATGGTTTGGTTTCATGTTATTCAGTCCTCACGTTTGTTCCTTTCTCTTATTGTATTTTATCTTAGATGTATGTTCGAGCTCAGCAGTTCATCCGTGACTGAAACAATTAGTCAATCTACACGTTACTATTCGAATAGGGATGACGGTAGTTATTTACCACCAGAATATCTCCACCTTAGTGGATTGAATTGTGGCGACCATGTGTTTTTGCCGAGTCTCCAAACCAGGCATTTTATTAACAGTGATTACATATATTTCGAAACCGTTAAAGTGGAAAAAATAATTTTCTAAAACGAGATAAAACCAGAAAACCACTGATCTGTACAGCGGATAAAACATACACAACAATGACGTTTTCAAGCTTGCAAACCATATTTATTTTCTATTAATTACAGGAAAATAAATCGATTATTTTCACGAAGCACCAATTTTCATTCAAATAAGAAAAATGGTCCTAGCTTGAATTATGAACAACAAGAAATGTTCAAACAAATAAACAATAAGAACTGTAAATAACAGACAGTGTTAGTTACACTAGTACTACGCATTTGGATACGAAGTAAGTGCAAGATTGCCAAATTCAGTTTCGCCGAACGCTTCCAAATTCCATACACAGCTGCATAAACTGTGTAGGGTTTCTTTTGATCCTGAAACTAGAACAGCGCCAGATGGCAGATGTAAATGCGAGTCAACGTACACAATTTTGCCATCTTGAATAAGAAATGCAGATGTACGTTCGTGCATTATTAGGTGTGCGACACCTTTGTCGATGTTCATCAACTGCTTCAGTTGCTCTTCAACGGTTGATGGTTTGTGCTCATCCATATATCTCACCGGCAAGAGCAGATCGACTTGCGCTGTTATCACTCCAGATAGCATTTCGATAGCTTCCTCAATGGAAAGATATCTGTTCGGTAAAGCGTCACGGTAGATGTTATAAAGCATGTTACCGGTGTGGATGCACTCACAAATTGTGTTGATCCATGTAAAAGGAAGTGGTACAGTGACATCATTGGGAATTTCCAAATTTCCTTCCATGAATCGGTATCCCAATAAAGTTGCAATAATGCTACAAGCGTTACTTCCATCATTTCCTAATGTGCTCTGACTCACAGATGCCGGTAATTTCCAACAAATGACACCTTCACACACTAATTCTCCATTCACAGATCCCAAATCACTATCGTCCTGAGGTAGGATACAAAGGGGTTCGTGACAACCAAGATCATCATCTACATCGGAATCGCTTTCATCACCTGATGCATTCTGATCTGACTCACTTTCACTATCATCAAGCTGGAGAAGTTCTTGGAATTCTTCTACATTACAATCTAACGTACTGGAGAAGGCGTTGATCCCACGCGCTAACTGAGACATCGCAAAATCTTCTCCCTGTCTAATTAGTGCAATGTTTCCATGTATAACAGTAGGCGCAGCTGATAAAGTGCTGTACCTTCCAGGCACATTCTTTTCGGTCAAAAGCTCATCAGCTATTAAAGGTAAACGAAAAAACAGAACAAAGATAACAATTTTAACAACAACTACAGTATTCCTGTAAAATAACACAGTTGCTACAATTCAACCATGAAGACATGTCTACCAGTCGCCACGAGTTGCTTTCAACTAACCCAAACTATACCTGTAAGTAAGTGATGCAACTCGTTTCTTCGTCGTCTAAGGGACAATAGAAGGGTCTTGTAAAACATCAAGAAGTTTGACATTTCTGTCTTCAATAGGCACTGTTCTTCTTCAAAACGCTTATTTTCCATCCATTTCTCTGCCACGATGCGTTTTGTCCGGATTGGTAAATCTATTAAAGTGGAATTGCACGTATTAATTTTGCAAAATTTGCAGATTGCGGCAAAAAAATCAATGGAAACCAAAATTTCGTCTTGGTTTTCTCTTTAAATGCTGATTCATTTGAGAATGTACAGCATATCAAACACTCGAGTGTTTCACCCCCAAAATATTCAAACTTGTTTGGATATCAGATGAAACACTCCTTGTCGTGTTCGATATTACTTCAAAAGAATTTACTAACAAAAACAGTCCTGCCATGGTGACTCACGAAATAGTCACGTTGCAAAAGATTTTTCCACCAAATACGATTTGACTAAAGCCAATTTTAGGTCTTACAAATTATAGCTCCAGTGGTAATGTGTTCAAGTTGTTCACATTGCTACCGATAAATCAACGCCAATTGAATTCTGAAATTTAAATGGCTTTTCTAAGTGTGACTCACGTGACAATTGTGTAATTTCTGTAGAATGGATAACTTTTCTGCACAAATTTCGTACTGGCAGAACTGTATATCGTACTAACCTTCACTATAGCTTGTACTATCAAATTCATCATTCCATCTAAAAATTCCATTTGCCACATCGTCCATAGTGACATCATCTCTTCCTGAAATATTGTTGTACAATGAAGCTGATGTCGTAAGGTCTGCCTTCTCTTTAGATATCTTCCCTCTTAAACGTTGACGTTGCTTAGATGAATCTAAAATAATTAAAACGACATAGTTCGATAAGACATTTGGTTTAATAGGGACAAACTTTGAATTTATATACTACAAATATGATAATTTGCCGTCGAACTACAAAAATAAACCACATTTTATATGTAGCTTAAGTTTCGTCGTAAGAAAAACTGATATCAGGTCATTGGCCTCAGTTAATAACATAATGTCAAAATGACAATCCTAATAAAAAGCTTATCATGTACACTGTATATACGCCTTAAGTTATTTCCAGTTAATTACATAATCACCCAGATACAACTATAACTTAATAAAATCAATTGCATACAAAATAATTTTCCAGTATTAACAAAATCTTTTAACAAAAACAGAATGAAAGTTATTTTCAAGTGAACTTGTTCGGAAAAAGGATATAATCAATAAAATGATTGCACTCAGCTAAGACAATCAGTTCAAGATACAGTACATCAATACATGTAATAAAGATCATTATGACCGGCATCTACTGCGAAACTACGTACCAGCACACTTTCCCATATTATATGCCAACTGGGCAATTGAGAAATGCTTGAACATCATTCGTCTTCGCAGATCGGACAGGCATTTTGCTTTCAGTTGATCTTCTCCACTGGTTTGAGCGGTAATAGCATTAGCCGGTGAGCACAATCGCAGTAGGTCATCTAGACTACCATTATCTGTCTTTTTTGAAATACTTTTAAAAGTTCTTGGATACAACAGAGCCACAGCATCACAGGTGGACTTGACATCTACAGACATACTACTCTGCCCCAAAGATGTGCCAAGAAAGAATTTTTCCGGTGGTGACATTGGCACTGGTTTGTTACATAACTCTTGCTCTTAAACAATCGTATAAATAAATAAACAAAAACAAACAAACAAACAAACGAATGAACAAATCAAATAATAAAAAGAAATAAAAACAAACAATCAAACCAAAAATAACCAAAAAACCCCGGAACAAACAAACCAAAAAAACAAAAAAAATAAATAAATAACAAACAAACAAACCAACAAACCAACAAACAAACAAACACATATACTCGCACGTAAACATGCACAAACCTACATTCCCCTTACCTTTAGCTACATCAATTACATCTCCCACCCAATTAGCTATTTTGTTGTTGATTTCATGAATAGTCATCCCTCCTGAGCATTCTACCATTTCCTGTCTAGCTTTTGTCCACTTGTATTTGGCCTGGATTAAAGCAAGTACATACCTGTACACACATTTAAAACATACAATACTTGCCCTATTTTCTCGTAAATTGATCTAATAACACTGACTGTGTACAATAGTATATACAATTTAACAAATATAAAACATTTTCTGTGTTGATATACAGTTATATCAACACGAGTGGAATTGGGAAAACGAGAAATTGTATGGAAACACGACGCCCGAAGGGCGGAGTGTTTTCATACAATTTCGAGTTTTCCCAACTTCCACGAGTGTTGATATAACTGTATATCAACACGGAAAATGTTTTATATCTTTTTTATAATATAGCAATGTCAAAAGCCCGAAGGATAAGAAAAATTTCCGTGTTTATAAGCGGCGGAAAATTTCCCGTGTTGATATTGAGTTATATCAACACGGCTCTTAGCCAATCAGCGTTCAGAATTTACAAATGCTATATTATAAATATACATGTTGAATCACTTGCAGCATATAATATATTGCAACCTTGTAACCAGCAGGAGAGATGATGGGCATGAGATTGCATATGTTGTACTGCGTTGTAAAGTAGTACAAAGGAAAACAATTCAGTTGGCTCATAACTGAATTAATAAATGTATGTATTCAGTAACACAGTGATATTAAACAATTTAACAAACATGTATTCAGAATCCAACCTTGGCATAACACTTTAACAATGAAGTTGGTAATCCAACAATTTTTCTTTTGTTCCAAGAAATGGCATGCTCAGTCAACAACTCTTCTCTCCCTAGAGAAAAAATCTTTAGACCATACCATACAAAACTACAGTTGTTTAAGAGGTCCTTACCTTTTATATATACAGTACATGTACATATATACATGGATCGTATAAACTATTTTTTATAGGTAACTATATAACTGGCCTTCTGATAAAAAAATACCAAAAATTGATATCTTATGTGCACATTCCATACAGCCCCATATACATGTAACAATTATTATGCCATATACAGAATAAGAAAACCCAAATCTTACTTTCAGGAAGCATGTGTTTCGTCGTGGTACCAAGTCGTGAGAAATGACTGTTGACCAACTCAACCTCTTCTCCAGTTGTCCCGCAAGCCCCTTCCTGCCAACGACCACCCCACAATACCTACAAATTTAAATATAATAATGTAAATATCTATTTTTGGTATCATAGATAATTTTTATTGGTAATTTTTATGTATCTTTTTATACGTCTTAGTCTATGTTTGAAACAACTTGGATAATACAAGGTGTAAATTACCTGACATGACCAGGAGTGTGCTTTAGCATGCATCACTGACAATGCTGGTTTCATTGACTGAGAAGCTCTGGGATCGTGGGTTGTTAGCCATGGCCAATATTTGCAGATAACATCGTACCAAAAATACAGTACATTCTTAGGGGATAAAGATATTGTCTGCAAGTAATGGGCATAACCATACATTTCTCCACAGTACATGTTGACAGCATGTTGGGCAACAGCATGACGACACGCAACCATCTCTAACCCAGTTTCATCTAAACCTTTTTTTCGCTTGAGGTTGTTTGCTGCAGCACGCCATGTTGATGCCCCACAGATATTGTTGCTGCTGCTTTCAATTTCCTAAGTTGAACATAATTCTAATTACAATGACCCTCATCACAGTGACATATATTTACGGTACACAACAAACAATTGCAACAAACAATTAAAGCTTCGTTTTTTTCGATTCCAACTACCTATTTACAAAGGCCGAGCACAGATACATTTGGTACGGGTAGCAATTTATCTGTGCTGTACCAACAACTGAGGATGGTGTAAATAGGGCTTATCATACAGAAGCAAGGTTTTTAAATCAGACAGTGGTACAGTATTACTGATAAAATATTGCATCAATTCATTTCCTCAAGTTGATCAATTCATACAAATTCAAATTTATTTTTCTACTTCCTGCGCGTTTCCTATTGGTCAATCGGTTCTGAAACGAAATCTAATTGGCTTATGTAGAAGTAACAGGAAGTTGATCAATTTTCTATCAAATGAATTGATTAACTTGAGGAAAGGAATTGGTGCAATATTTTATCAACATTTTTATTGCAACGACAGTAAAGTATATATATTATTACCTCCTGTGTTGGGTTCTTGTACACATCCTGGATGTGAGCATCAACTTTAGTTTTAGATGCAATAAAACATTCTTTGTAGTATGACTCACTGTGCTCTCTAATAAAATAAAAATAAATAAAAATAAATAAAATAAAGATACTGTAAACCAAATTAAACAAAAAAATAAAACGAAACAAACTAAAATAAAATTGTACAGACAAATAACAAATCAACAAAATAAACAAAGCAATTAATGATTCCCTTTATTACGTTTTCGTAGCGCTTTGCATTGTGGTTATAGTGGTATCACTGATAAAGATAGCGGCCTCGAATGAAAATATTGAATGTTTTCGCGAATATTTTGCTGTTTGTACCTGACCCTAGCTTTTTTAAAAAGTTCTTGCACGGGTCAGGACAAAAAATAAGCCATCTTGAATATCAGTGATACCACTATAACCACAATACAAAGCACTACTGTAGGTAAAATAATACTTATTATTCGTAGATTGTATTTCGTCTTTATTTCAAAATATTGATTGTGGATTTTAATGTTCTGGATTTTAATGTTGTCCTTAAAGATCAGTCAAGAATTGCCTCTGTATTGTTATTTTCAGTTTACTCCGTGTTTTCGCACGGACATGCGAAGCAACGTTACTTCTTGCGAAAAATTTTACACGCATTATAGCGCTGCGAGAATTCTCGTGAATGCATGATGCATCGAGATTTCTTGTTACGAGAATTCTCGAGAATGTTTGCATCGAGATTTCTCGCTTCTCGCAAAATTCTTGTGTATCGAGTAACGCGAAGCGCGTTTCGAGAAGCCTATCGAGCGAGCGAGAATTTTTATCGAGTGGGTTTCGAGATCTCGATACTCGAAACATTTTCCTCGATAGCATCGAGCGAGAATGGTTAACTTTCATTAGGGCCGTACTGTATGAAAACGTAACAAGGGGAATCATCAATTAATAATACTTTCACTAGCTGAGCACATACTTTCCAGCAGACTTGAAACGATACAGCTTCATGTTGGCATCAACATGAGCAGAATGTTGATTTTCATTGCAGCAAGGGCATTCCATGAAGTTCTTTTCCATCAACTGATCCAGCTCATACTTACAATACTTCCACTCTCGAAACGAACTACCAAATGTAGTTGGATTGATAGTCCCTTCCTTTCATTAATTCAATTAATCAGATAAAAAATACAATTTAACCCATGTGGTTTAACCCCAATGTGGTTTAACCCATTAAGGGGCAATGGCGGCAATGAACCAATTTAGACAATGATCACCCTTTATCATTTTAATTAATCTAAAGGCAGAAGATTTCACTCATCAAAGGGAGACCTCTGGCCAGTTTTACATATTCATGACCTAAAATAAAATTCTTAAAAATACTTACAGTAGTAAAATAGCTTATATCACACAGCCGGGGCAAGGGCACATTTATTTCACAGAAATGATAAGCGCAAGAAGATTATGCACCCTGATGGGTTAATTTAAGTAACATACCCTTCCCTTTTCCAAAGAATAATCTTCTAATGATTTTAGAAAAGACCTTTCAGATACTCCCGGCATACGTTTCTGCATCAAATCCCATTGCTTCAATAAATTTGCATCAAAGATGTGGATAATGTTACTGGGACTCCCAGGCCAAAATCCAAATCTGATGACACTTTCCAAGGACCAAGGCGACCACAAACACTGGCAAGCAGAGCAATTGAAATCCACTTTGTCCAAATCAAACCTGCCTGCAATAATACATCAAATCAACAATATATAAACAACTAGTTCCAACAACAACTGTACAACACTATGAAATTAAGAATTATAACAACAAGGACAACAACAAACATTTATAACGGTATAGAATTGTTTGAAATTTAAAAATGTATAGTGGATTTTCAGTAAAACAGTTAATCATCATTGCATTTATTACAGTAAAGACTTGTCTTTTAGCAACATTAAAATCTCTTTCCTGTTTATTATTCTCATAATTTGGGTTTGTTTGTTAATTAACTTTAATTCACATGTTATTCAATAAATCAATTCCTATTAAATATAATCCCTTTTAATACTCATTTGTACATCTGCAGTTGTTTTGTCTGAGATTGGCAGAGATGGTACTTTAAAAGGCCGGTATCTTACTGAAACCAGTGGAGTTTGATAAAACCTATGGTTCACAGAAAGCTGTGTTTATTATGACATAGTTCCCACCAATTCATAAGGAGGGAAACCAATTTAAATGTTAAATATTCACCGTACAGTTCTTCTCAAAAAGATTTCACATTACAACCAGGCCTAAAAATTGGGCTAGTATTCCAAAGGTCATAGGTTCAATTCCCACTGTGGCCAGGTACTGTATATTGTTCAAGCTTGCCCGGTGTGGATACACACTCAGAGTAACATCATATTCACCTCAGTACACAACACCAACACAAAAAAATTAGGCCTAAAAATATCGGTCATGCAGCATAGCCATCTGGCAAAATGCCCTATGTCTTTGTGACTGGGTCAAACATTTTTAAAATGATGTCCGATGGTCTTAATTTTGGGTTTGGTTCTGAAATATTTTTGCTTAACATGGTGACTTTGCTTGCCAATTTAACAGAAGTACAGTAGGACAATAAAAACATCTAAAAACTTAAAGTTGGCACATAAGAAAAAAAATTACATATATTAATCACACACTATATCTTTTAAGCTAAATTCATCCGAAGTTAAAATTTGAATTATGGATAGATCATACCAGTCCATAGTTCAAGATTTTCTTTACACTTATACATTATATAATTTATAAGTCGGACAAATAATAAACCTCAATTTCTCTTCTGTCAGACAGAATGTTCGGTGATTTTCTTTCCACGTTGGACAATTTCACAAATGCGTCAGAAAATGTTTGTCACCAACCGATATTTTAAGGCCTATAATTTCATTTATTGTACAATCATTCAGATTAAATTTTTAATTGTTTCTGATGTTTCATTTCATTGATTTTAAGGCCATTATGTTACAACATAATAATGTACATATCATCAATGTCATACAATTATTTCTTAGTACCTTTAATGGTAATAACAATGCACTGACTTTCAGTTGCAACTGGAACCATTGTGCCAACAGATTTACAAGACGGGCATTGTTCTATATGTGGGGGAAATGGGCGGTCTACAAAAATGTACAAAGCGTAAAAATTGTCAACAAAATAACACATTTGCACCCATACACACACACACATATATAATTATATACATATGTATGTGATTGGATGGATATATATATGGACAGACAGACAGACAGACTACTCCGATTATATACCAGTGTAACACAATACAAAGTAGGATACATACTTATTGTTTTATGTTGTCCATCACATGTGACTGATAATTTTGGTGGAAGAGCTTTATAATAACCATTATAAATCCCATTTCGGTCATGCAATGGATATTTGTGATGGACTTCTTCATCACATGCTGAACATAAGCTCTTTGGATCAGGACACTCTTGACAATATATGACACACTTGTTTACTAAACATCTAGAGCAGGTATCAATGTTAGCAGCAGCAGAAGATAACACAGTGTCAAAAATATTTTGCCGACATGATTCCCAATTAGTTGATAAATTTTCCATTCTCTTTTTCCAATTACATTTATTTTGCTGCTTGTTGATTTTCTCCACTTCGAGTAACTTTTCACACTCTTCAATTAATATTGATAAATCATCATCTGGAAAAAGGGAACACAATATACTTTATTTCTAAGGACCAACATTTGTGCTTGGTGTTGTGAGTATTTGATGAACTTTAAACAAATTCTACATATTAAAATTACACAGCTTTGCTAATCACATACATGTACATCTCTACATCAAACACAAACTGATATATAAACAAACTGACTTAAATACTGTAATTAATATTCATATATTATTTAATTTGAAATTTGAATTGCTATATATTAAAATACTAATAAATTGCTAAATAAATTGCTAATAAACAGATCTGATACCTGTTGGTGACTGATCAATATTCTGTAAACTCTCTGCCTCATCAGGATTAGTTTCAAAATTATCCCCATCCATTGCAGGTATATCTACATAAATACATAATATGGTGATCACAGTTTTTATATTAAACGTACAGGTCAGTGGCATGGGTCACAGTCAGTGTATAATACAGTATTTACTACAACTAGAGTTAAACAATTCACCACGAACATAAACATTATGAATAATGTACTTTACCATGGCAAGTTTCTAATGGATTCCCCTTTCTAGTTTCTAGACGTCGTCTCTGCCCACTTTGACGGCGACGTCTCCCAGGAATTGGTCTTCCACAATTATCGAGAAATCTTACGACGCCTTCTTTTTTTTTTCTTGTCCTTGGCTTGCGAAAATCTTTACCATCTTTTAAGATTTTTTCAATTTTTGCCGCAATACGATCTTCTGCCATTTCTCGAGTCTTAAATCGAACAGTTCTTCCATCTCCAGATTTCGGCGCGTCCGCCATATTGGAAGAATTTATTTCAAGGACGAGTAGGATGGGTATTCAATGGAATCTGGGTACTAGTCATACAAACCTACGCGTATATGATGCATAGCATCATATGTGCACGGATGTTTGTATGTTATATATCATCATAGGAAACGAGAGACCATGTTGGATCAACAAGCATCAACTTCTCCACAAACATTTCGTTTAATTCACTGTACTTGTTTTTGCAACTGTCCCAATAAACTCCTTCGTTAGTTTTCCGTGTTTTGTACTCCTGTGTGATTGAAAGTAGTAGCTCAACTTCGGTATCTGTCCACACGAAATTCTCTTTGCCTCTGGTGACGTTGTATTTGCTCTTTTTTGCATCGGTATTCACGGTAATTTCGCTTACGGTATCTTCAGCTTCAGAGGTTGAGGCCTGCATGTTTTAATATTGTTGTTGTTAATATATCTGTTGTTAATATAGTCATACAAACAACACACTTTAACCTTGTGTTTAAAACGAGAAGACAACAAAATGGTCTAAGACCTAGACCGTGTTTGAATTTAGCTATTGGAACTGGTAACTAGTGCCTGATCAGAAACGTTGCGAGAAAAACAATCAATGTGAACAAAGCGCCAAAACGCTTATGTTGAAAACGTTTCAGCTGAAAACGCTCGAAAACGTTACCGTGTGCACGTAGTCTTAATGAGTTAAAAAATACACTGAAATTATATGCTTTCTTGTTAATATAGTTGTTTCATATACGCCGAGATATACGCAAAGGCTGTCGGGTTTTAAAGCCATTATAAAATTAATATTTAAAACAAACTTACCTTCGTTAACGTCAGCTCCCTTCTTTTAGCCTATTCTTTCTTGAAATTTACAAAATCTTGCAAAAATGCGAGCAAAAATGAAATATATTTGCAAGAAATTTATCAATCATCGAATCAAGAAATGTTTGCCATTTCGCTGTCGTCATGCCCTCGTTCATGACAGTCCGCCATATTTTTGAGATCAGTGAGGATGACCACTCATGGTTGATGACCCACGCCTGCGATAATTGATGAACTTTAGACTTCGCTAATGCTTTCGTTTCCCCGGGTGTAAATAGCCGGGGGGAATTAGTACCCTCGCACGGATATAAATTAAATTTGGTGGTATAACTAATATTTTGGGGCAAGATTTTTCTGATCAAAAAATGTGCATATTTTGAAAAAAAAATTTGAAAAGGACTGGGGCTACCTGCAGAAAACACTCATGGCCTGCTTAAAAGATGGTGGTGAACATTCCAGTTTACTTATAGTTCAATGGGATGCACCAATCAGGAAGCACTAAGCAGAATAAATTTGTTCTCAACTATTTAAATTGTGTTGTTTTGCCGAAAATGTTTAGTTGGTAGACTTGTTATTATTGTACAAGGTGAGGTTGATTTATTATCTTCTTATTTAAGCGAAATTGGAAGGAAAAAGTATAAATACAACGTTTTAATTGTTAAATTTTAAGCGCTTAGTCGATCTCCTCCGCAGAGGTTTTTTAAAGAATATGAAATTCGAAGGAATTGAAATTGCGCTATAAGCTATCTGCTATGAAGACAACCGCTGAAAATTGTCTTCATACCAGATACCTTCTGCTCAGGTACATTAATGCCTGGGTCTCAGTTTGTGTATTTAGCGAAAATATACAAAAAATCATAAAATAAGTATGACCTTGATTATTACCATTCAAGTTTTATATGATTTATCAAAGGAGATCCTAAAATTTGACCTACTTTTCGTTGTCATGGCAACGATCACGTGATGTGTATTTCGAAAAACAACAAAAAAAGATATGTTTGACTCAGAGGCTCTGCAGCAGTATATTTCGTGACTAAGAGGACGCAGAATTGCGATAATCATTAGCCGTTTACACATTAGAAGACGGACAAGTCGTCTAGACGAACAAATCGTCTTAGTCGGACAAATCATCAGATTTGAAAACGTGTCGGACAAAATTTTAGACGAACAAATCGTCTGAATTTGTTCGACTACTTGTCCGTCTGTGAAGACGATTCTTGAGAGACGATTTGTTCGTCTAGACGAACAAGTCATCGAACACCGTCCCGGATTCATATTAGTCGAACAAAGACATGAAGAAATTAACAAATGCAGTAGCGAGGAGAATGGAAGTGGTCTGGGTGCCAAAGATACAAATTCACCAGAGTGGTATAGCTTGCTCGATCCAATTCTAACAGAGGCAGTGGATGGTATGATGACCTTGAGCTCCAAAGCTAATGATATTGAGAGTCAAGAGGAAAGTATGGAAGAATCGAGTGATGAAGCAACCTGGAGTGATAGAACTTCCTCTTCCAGCAGAGTAGCACCAAAACGACGCAGGTCCAGTACGTCTGTGGCAACAGATGACGACAAATCAGATATTGACCAAGATGGTGGTTCTGTGGAGGGTGAAGGTGTGAATAAGAAACTTAAAGTCAAAGAGAATACTGATGTTAAAGCTTGTTCTTCATTTAAATCTAAGAAAAAGGCGCCTAAAACACAAACTGCTGCAATGTGGCAAATGGTAAAAGGGATGGAAGAGATTAGTAAACGACAAGAGAAAAAGATTGATGAAAGATTGACGACCTTGTTGAATATGGAAATGAAACAGGGATGAGATGCTACTTGCCTTCCAGAGAGAGCAGGCAGCACAAAATAGGCAACATGAACTTATGCTGGCTCAGTTGCTTGTTCGACCAATGTACAACCCTGCTACCCATGGCATGAGCAACCCATCATCTCAAGGGTATGATGTCAACAATGCTATGATGGGTGGGCATCCTGTAGGTGTATCCTCCATCACTAGCATAAGCCAGTGTCCCAGTTCATTCGAAGATGATGCTCTGAGAATATACCATAAACTGTGAAACTTATCGAAAAACTATTTACATTTAGTTGTCGTTATTTATATTCCTTCTGTTTTATACCATTTGAGACTGTATACATATGGGACTGTTATATAACTTCAAAACAGCAAGGTAGTATTTTCACATTGATATATTTAATACATGGTCTGTGCATTTCATATAACTTTCATCATGAATAAACATTGCGATCATGCAATGTCTGCATCATAAAAGGGGCATATTAGCCCCCTTCTCCAAGAGATGCCAGAACAACCGGTGCAGTGGGTGCAAGTAACCCATTGCCCTGTGTATTCACAAGTTTGTGCCGGGCTGCAATGCCTGCACCCATAGCCTGTCCCAGAAACTTGTGAATACAAAAGAATATCTTGTACAATAAATAAATCTACTTTAAGAGAGCATTTATAATTTGTTGAAAAGAAAGGGCAATTGTAATTTTTAATTGACGTTATAAATTATGGTGCTGTTACACCCCTCCACTTATTGTTTGTATTATTATTATAATGTCTATTGGCCCCCTCCCCCTCAAATAAATAATAAATGTGCCCTTTTTAATAATCCCCTCCCCTTTTAGATGAAGAAATTTATGGCCCTTTTCCATTAAGCCCCCCCCCCCTATTAATTGTCCGCTCTCTATTAGGCCCCACCCCTGCTTGAAAAATTTTACTTCACTTCAAACAGTAAGAAACCATGCTTGAAACAGTAAGAAACCATGCTTGAACAAACCTCTTGTCTCAGGTAAGCATCCACCAAAAAGGTGCCTGAAACAAATAAGCCCCCCTGGGGGCTCAACATAGAGTTAACGGTAAGGGTTCTCCGCAAACAAGTTTCACCCATGCAGTATTATGTGCAACCATGTTCTGTTTGATTTGGGTTTAATAGAAATATCAAAAGCATTCGGTTCAGAAACATGTATTCTTGCCAGGCCTAATAATACAGTATCTTAGTGTCTATGTACTCTGATATATAAAATATGTACAATTGTTACTATCTTCCTCAACCATGCAGGCAAAAGTAGAAATTAATACAACCAAAAGTATGTTATATTAATGTGACTGTCTCAATATTTATATCTACATATTTTTTAAAATTTCTGTTGCAGTTTTTTAAAAAATGTTTTACTGGTGATTGTTCAAAAACAACAATATATATTTATAAATAAAGCAACACTAGTTTGACAGTCAAAATTGTATATATAATTTTTTGAGACCATAAGTGTACAAGCCAGGGGGGGGACTGCATGGGGAGGAACAAAGCAGAAATTGAAATTTGAAATTTTTGGCTTCACACTGAATATTTTTGGGACAAACGTCTCGCACCCCCCCCCCCCGATTGAGGTGGGTCCTGTACGCCTATGTTTGGGTCTCCTTAATATTGTCTGTTAATGCAAAGACCATAACCATCCAGCAATTCTGTTCCCTATTTGCTGAGTAAGTCTTTTGTTCTTGGTTCTCTTTGTAGCTTTCTTTACCAGCTGAAGCTTATTGACTTCAAGCTTCCATCTTGGATTGCAAGGATCATGTCTCGCTATACATATATTGTGGAGAACAATACAAGCCATAATTATCACTTTGATGTTTCTCCTGCTGCACTCTGTTTTCTTGTATATGATTCTCCATCTACCTTTGAGCATGCCATAAGCATGCTCAGAGACAACTCTTGCAGCCCTCAACTTCTTATTGAAATGCTTTTCCTTCTGATCTTTGGTTGGAACTGCAAATGCTTTAAGTAACCAAGGTCTGGGGGGAAAGGCTGAACCTCCAACTGTTGCAAAATTTAAGAACTTGATTGGGTAATACTTGTCCTCTTTCAATGGAATTAAATATGTCTGAGTACTGTAATATGGTGGAGTCATGCATGGATCCTGGTGCCCCAACACCAGCCCAGAGAAATTGCATGTTTGTCACAGAATAGCGTTTTTTAAAGCTGAAAAAGTTTTTTAAGTGGCAATTTATGTAGACGTGAAAGCCATCCCAGGCCCCCAACACAGGGGAATTCCCAATCTTCTATAAATAATTTAAGTTCTGCCTTCCACTCTTCGTCGTTCTGTGGTAGGACAACAAACTTGTAAAACTATAACTTACGCACAATGACTTTTATAACACTCATAAATATTGTGCATGCGGTGGACGTGGCTACGCCAAATAGGTCTCCAACTGTTGTGTAGGTACAACCATGGCTTAGGTGATAAAGAGTAAGGGCTAGCTGTAACTCGGGAGACGTCGGCTTTTTAAAACGAGTGGTTTGTTTTCTTATGTTATCAGCAATAGCATCAAGTAGAAATTGAAAGGTATCGCATGCCACACGAAAACTTTTCTTAAACTGAGCATCCGTCCAGTTTTCATATCCATCTTCCCACCACAAGTGGTTTCTTCCTTCATTCGGGCTTCTTGTTTTCTTCTCGCATCTTGTTGCACATACAACCGGTTACAGCCGCCTTTATAGGTGTTAAATTATCGTTGTTTTGCAGGAGAAGGTACTTTGATCTTCTTGCCGTAAGCAAATTCTCGCAAATCGGACGTTTTCATCCCAATAGCCGGCTTCTAAGGTATTGCTGTATGGCAGCCATGTTGTTCCTACTTGGTAACCACCCCCTGACATAATTGTCCATCTTGAATTCATATTAGTCGAACAAACTGATGGACGATTTGTTCGTCTCTAATGTGAATAGGGCTAATCATTCACACATAATATCACTGTTTATTGAATGAATCTGGAAAGTTTACATTTAGGCTTCGTTTCATTATTTTATGCAGCTATATTACGCTGATCGGCATCAAACGAATGTTAATTGCGTCATTAAATGTTATTTCCAAATAAATGTACGGTTTCCAAATTAACACAGGAAACTTTGTTCCCTTGTTAATATTTTTAGCTAATAAATATAGCAAAATTCGTCAAATTACCCTGCTGCAACTCCAACGCGTTTTTCACGTGATGAATTTCATGCGCCATAATGAAACAGTCTGCCGCTTATTGTAAGGGATATTACATTTCCAATAACAACATTCATTGCGCATTCAAGCCGATATCTTGAAGCATAGTTAATGCTTGAAGGGAAGTATATGACATGGTGGAAAAGACCGAGTGAACTATATGTGCTATAATTAATTTGTAATTCACAAGGAACTTTTCATTGAAAATAAGAAAAATCAACAATTAATACTGAATAATCGCAAGATAGCGCACTATAAGAAGCTTTTATTTATCAGCAGTTCAAGAGTTAGCTGTCGCAAATGATACAATACTTTATAATTTATATTGCTATACAAAGAGCCAATCATTACATCAAAATTGAATAGTATACTGACTTCTTTGCATTGTATATTCCAAAATAATCCTGTCGCTCATATACACTACATTTTGATTCGACTATAAATACTCGCACAAGGGGCGCATATTCTAACAGACGCATTACTGACAGAACGCGCATGCAACACACACGTAAGATATCAGCCGAGCGTGGGCAGACCCAGGCATTGACATGCCTGAGTAGCGCAATTTCAATTCCTTCGAATTTCATATCTATGTTTAAAAGCCTCTGTGGAGGAGAGAGGTGCAATCCTTTCTTTTGTCAGATAAATTCATCATTGCTTTCTGGTTTAATATCTTCAAGGGGAACTGCTTGAATATGTTGAATTCGCTCGATAGCGTTCGAGTAGGGATTCGTGTAAGACCTCTCATAAAAAGGTATGTATAATTTATATTTTAATCAAAGTATATGAAGCTTTATTTCAATTTGGTGTAACTAAGATAGGAATTTGTGATTTTGTGTTAGATCACTTGTAGAACTAGAGCTTAAAGGTTAAAATAATTTAGTCACACATGGTACAGAGTGTATGAACAACTGAACAAGGTGCTTGGTCAAAAGGCCATTCCAATATTCCATTTAATCACAGAGTAGATACTTTTACTGAGTTATAACTAGTGTACCCACTGTTTTTGTGTGAATGCTTGGCAAGTTACTAGATGCAGGCATCCCCATTGGATGGCACTTGCTTTAACTTGCCCGGTTGCCTGAAAAAACTGGGTGCACAAGTTTCTGCAGTGTTCACATCAGCCAAATTTCCACCTTTGTATGTATCTACTCTGTGATTTAATGTTCACACCCCCTATGGACAATTTTTTGGGTGAGACCCCAAAGTTGTTTCTGCTCAAGGGAGATTTTTGTGTTAGCATTTTTTTCTTATAAGGTAGGAGTTAAAATTATACTGACCTTGTCCATAGGGGGGTGGATATTAAATGGAATGGCCCAAAACAGCCCAAGTCAACAAAACGGCTCGCTTTGATTGGTGGAAATAGAAAAATGAACTAGTGTAGCTAGCACACTGGCGTACAAAAATTTATTTAGTTGTGGACACTACGTTCTCAACCATTTCTGTTTTCTCATGGGAGATTTTTGTGTAACTTGCTAGGTTACACTGGGGCACAGCTAGGTTACACTAGGGCACAGCTATAGGTTACACTAGGGTACAGTTACGCACATGTGCCCTAGTGTAACTTGATAGGTTACACTAGGGCACAGCTATGTTACACTAGGGCACAGCTATAGGTAAATGCCTGTTGAAAGTTAAATCATCTTGAAATACTCCAGCATTTGTGAAAGTAAGATAATGTGACCTGCCAACTGTACATTGAAATCATGATTATCTTACTTTTATATCATATTTTATCCGATGCTATTACTAAAAAGTGTAGTTTACAAATCACATCTACAATTGCCGATTGAAATGCTAGTACTACGGTATCTGATGATTTATTTACTCTTTGTCTATAATGCCAGACCATTTTACTCTGTCATCTACCAATCAATTTGCATAGGAAATTACACGGTTCGAGAAGTATTAATGAAAAATCGCACGCGTGTTTGGCGAAATATTTATAATACCGCAAGTGCGTAGCACGAGCGGTATTATAAATATTTCGCCAAACACAAGTGTGATTTTTCATTAATACTTCGAGAACAAGTGTAATTTCCTATTAATATCATTTTACAGTCAATTTTACACGAGCAATCAATGATAAGAAACATTGCAGCATTTGTATATTCAAGCGAGCAAAGCCATATACGCACCTCTGCATGTGGTCAATTTTTGACAGCACTTTCTGACATTAATTTTCAATTCATACCTGTAAAAACTGTGAATAATCTTTATTTCTTCTTTTTTCTTCGTTATGAAAGTATAAATAAGAGCTCATTGTAAACTAAAAGCTCAGAAAATGTACATTTTCAACTAAAGTTGTTTGTTTTTAAGTTGACATTTTGTGTTTACTCAACGCATGATCCACACGGGCTCGTATCCGTGCCGATTAATCTTTAATCGGCACACTGTGCCGATTAATGTTTAATCGGCACGGTTTTTAACCAATCAGAATCGAGTAAATTGACTAAAATGATATTATACTGTTTAATTAACACAAGATGAATTTGCTTTAATAACACTCTGTGATTTTAATCACTAGGGCACACTCAGGTTACAATGTGTCCTAGTGTAACTTGATAGGTTACACTAGGGCACAGGCTAGGTTACACTAGGGCCCATAGCAAGTACAGTAATAAAATGGTTAATGTTTACTCTTAAATAGCAATTTCAAGTAAGTAAAATAGATTATTAGTATGATACTTAATTAAGCTGTATTTGAATTAGTTGAAGCAGTTAATCCTTAGATATTCACAAAGCTTTGAGTCGTGTGTGTACATGTACATGTAAATGTGCCGCAACATTGTAACATAATTTATGAGGACATCGCCAAATTATGGACATGCATGGGACGTGTCGCAATTTGGGGACGTGTCACATTGTGGGAATTAATCCTTAGATATTCACAATGCCTTGACACATGTGTATATGTCTGTGTAATGTGTATGTGTACATTGTGTATGGCTTATGTGTGTATGCAAGAGTAATGATTTATGTTAATATCCAATTTAGTGGAAATGGTCGAGAAGAGTACCACACATGGGCCGGCGCACCTTGTCTTGTCATCTTCAGTTCATAATTATATGAATGTATTCATTGAGAAATTACACAACTTTATACCAGATTTTACACCACAACGCACAGTTGTTTTGAGTTTTTGAGCCACAACACTAGATTCATCCCAAGTTGGTGCCCAAATTGGCCCATGTTGGGGTAAAGTGTTTGGGAAACAAGCATCCATGGGTGGTGTAACTTCATTCAGAAAGGTTGCTGTTTCGGCTGTTCATGAGAGCAATGCAGATATGCAAGGTGATTTAGCAGATCTCATGGTACATCACAAAACAACAGCAGACAAATTTTACTTACTAAGGGGAAGTCTGCAGTTAATACATCAAAGGAACTGTCACACATTATGTGTGATGCCTCAGAGAAGACAGAAACCAGCGATGAGCAACCAGATGAGCAACCAGCCGAGAAAGAAGCTGACACATCAAATGTGATCATTTGTCACAGACACAAGTGGTCAAGTGAGGAAAAAGAATTACTAAAACAACTTTTCGCTACCCAAATAAAAACAAAGAAGTATCCATGGAAGAAGTTAGGGAGCTTTGCAAGGGCTACCAATTGCTTGCAAAAATTCCTCCTTCCAAGATAAGGGATAAAGTTCGAAGCTTCTTCAAGTTGGACAGCACCGAAAGCGAATCGTCCCTGCCACCACAAGAAGAAGAAGAGTCTGCTGAGGAGAAAGTCAAAGTTTTGGCATAAAAATTGCTACTGGTAAGTTTTTGTTAGTCACTATTTCATGTATATAATTTGACCATATTTATATGTACCGGGTGGCGCAAAAAAAAGTTAACCTGTTTGATTTGTTTTAACTTAAAAGCTAAAAGAGCTATTACACGTGAACTACGTGCATTGCATTCAGTATTGTCTAACTTAAATTTTGATATACACCCTGTGCATTTTCGTGCAATATTGACCGAGAGAGCTGCGTTTAAACTTGAGTAACCATTTTTGAAAGTGTCGAGAATTAGCCAAAAACGGCCTATCAAATATTTAATACAGCAATATAAACCTGTGCTTAGATGCTATAGTATAGTCAGAATAAAGTACACGTTCGTTGTCAGAGACCTGCGCAACGCCGCCGGTATAACCTCACAAGTATTATTTAGCCTACCCTTGCATATTCTAAACATATCGAAACTCTTTGGACCTTCGTTAAACGAGGCGTATTTATACAAAAACAGTTGACGTTTCTTTCTTGGAACATTAGAATTTGATTCCCCAGGGTCATTGAATATTTAGAATAAATCTTCAATTAATTTCCATGCATTCCCAAAGACCTTAAACGAAAATAAAGGAGCACACATCCATCCAATAAACATTTTTAATTTAAATTTCACTTCATTCAAACGAATATTCACGATAAAATGGTAACAGTTATCAAATTAGTTTAACAGGCTGTTTTTAGCTGATTCTCGACACTTCCCAAAATGTTTATTCAAGTTTAAACGCAGCTCTCTCGGTCAATATTGCACGAAATTGCACAGGGCGTATATCAAAATTTAAGTTAAACAATACTGAATGCAATGCACGCAGTTTAGGTGTAATAGCTCTTTTAGTTTTTAAGTTAAAATAAATCAAACAGGTTAACTTTTTTTTGCGCCACCCGGTATACATTGTGCACAATACTGTGCAGGAAATTGTATCTTACTTTGGTTAACTTAAACTGAGCCGTTCTTGTCTGCAAATATGGATCGGTGTTACTGTAATTGCCTAAAATGTTGTTACTGTTGTTTAACTATTTTAAATTAAGGCTTTTTGTTCAATATAATAAAACTCTATTAGACTCATCTTCGCCCAATACGGAAATTTTAAGTCTCGACTTGCAATATTAGGTGCAACCTTCGGTCTCGCCCAATATTTAAGGCTCAACATAATATTTTGCCATTTTGCGCTTAGAGGAATCCAATAAGTCATATTATTTTTTATTGTTTCAAAGCAAAAGGAAACCGTGATTTTTGTTGGCACAACTGCAGGAATAGAACGATTTTAATCTGAAAAAATTATCCAAAGGGTACAAAAAAGGTACTCTAAGTTTCGGTTTACCACAAGAATGAATCCCATTAAGTTTAAAGCATTCAAATTAAGGTGAACCATGCCTTGTTTTTATTATTTATAATCTGCGAACTCAGTTAAAATCTACGCTGTCAAGCATACATATTGGGCCGGTTGTATAAAATTCTTAACTGCTTTCTTTTTAACTACGTTTTAACCACCCGATTGTGGTTAAAACGTAGTTAACTTTAATCACATAGTTAAGTCGGTTGTGTGAAATATTACTTAGCATATTAAAATTGCATATTAAAATTGCAGTTAAAACATAGTTAAAGTTAACTATGCCTTGGGGCATTGTTAACTCTCCAAAACGTAGATAATACAATACAAAAGAACAGTGACTCTGAATAACATTTTGTTTTGATTTATTGATTCAATAAATCAAAACAAAATGTTATTCAGAGTTACTGTTCTTTTGTATTTTATAAAAATACTGAGTGGTTCCCGTAATTAGTAGATAATACAGTAACTATATTTGGCAAGATAACATCAAAAGCAAGGCTTACCAAGACATTTGGCCGTCATCTACCCCAGGATGGTATATCTGATGCTTGTAAACTTTTAAAACATACTTCTTTTTGTCGAAAACAGAATGTATTTTGCATTGGAATAGTTGATGCGGAAGAGCGATCCATAACAAAGATAATCCACTCTATTTTCACCGACAAGTTGCACTTCGACACAATTAAGGTTTTTCAAGATAAAGGGGTCCGGAATAAACGTACAGTAAGTAGTAAAATAGTTTCTTATTTGGTGCAACTTTGGTGTTTGCAGCTACTTGTATGTATGTATGTATGCATGGAATGAACCCCTGACAATAACATTGCATCACAATAAATTGTACTTTTTTGGTAATAATTATTAATGCCAAATTATTACAACATTTTACAATACCTGTAATAAATAAAAAATACTAAAATTCATATTTTCCTGTAAAATTTAGGTTCATTAGCAAAAGAATGCGAAGGGGAAGGCAGCCAAACATCTTCATCTTCAACTGGTTTTGTTCCTCCATCGTCTTGCTCCAGAGGTGGACAAGAAAGACTGATCACTGACCGTGAGCTTGTTCAATTAGAGAGTTGTTTGCTGGTTATATAAATTCAACGAAGGTTAAATCCCCAGGTTAAAACGTCCCCGACTCTGCGCAGTCAAAACGTCCCCAGGCCAAAAAACCCTAACTCTTGTGTTCAAATAAATTGAACTGCAACTAAATTATAAAAGAATAAACATGTTCATAGACATAGGGTTACGAGACAAGTTTTCGAAATTATGCGACACATGGGAGTATGTAACTCTGAATTAATTGCTTTATTTGGCAATGAACTTATTTGCAAATAATTTAGGGATCTTTAGAGGTCTTAGTTTTCAAGACAGCCCCAGCATCATTAAACTGTTATGAATGATAATCCAAGAATGATGTGAGAATTCGTCTCCATAATCTATATTAAGATATGATGGTCTAGAAAATAAAAGAAGTGTTTGTTTTTGTCAGAGCTTGTTTGTTGAGAAGAATTTGTGCACGCTCGCGGTGATTGAACTCATTGACATTGTATTTATGTAAAATTAAGTAACCATCCAATAGGGATAGCTGAGATGAAATGTGCAGCAACGATGAACAACATTTAATGAAGTTGAGACAAAAGATGTGTGCACGGTGAGGTACAGTCCAGTTAAAACTGACAGATTTGACTTTATTTGGGATATTTTGACGCGAGGACATTTTGACTTGAGTTGGGGACGTTTTGTCCTGGGGACGTTTTGTCCTGGGGACGTTTTGACTTGAGTTGGGGTCTTGGGGACGTTTTGACCTGGGGACGTTTTGACTGGAAAGCCGCACCAGATTTATGACAAGCTGAGGACTGAGAGAAAAATAGCCCAGAAGCCAAAGGGCCATAGGTGACAATTTTTAACTATGACATTTTGAATACAGTTATTAATTGAACAATGACATTTTCAAGATCAGGATGGATAATAATTTACTTGTTTGCTGCAACTTTCAACGCAATGATAATAGAAAAAAATATTGGAAAAGGGAAACGCGGGGCATATTTACAGTACTTCAGTACATACATTTCTACATAACATGGTTCTGTGCCGAAATTGCATTGCAATTTGCAGAAAAATTTACCCTGTGTAACATGGCCTTTAGGGATAAAATAGTTTACGATTTAGGGAAAAAAGTTTATGCATTTGTATTATAAAAATTAAAGCCAGCATAATTTTTTTATGAGAGGTATATTAAAAAAAAATTAATTGATACAAACAGTTCCCCTGTGAGCAGAGCCTTCGTTTCTCTTGCTCAGGGAGAGAGAAAGGGGAAAATAAGGCTCTTCAGTATTCATGTTATGCTTCGTCCAAGATTCTGGACGAAGCAAACCGACCAAGGGAAAGGAAAATAAGGTTCTGTTTGCAGGGTATCATACTGTATGTCCAAAGGCTGATTAACTGTATATGATACAATTTGTCATCCACGATTGTCATGTTCATGTATGTGTGTGATAAAGTTGAACAACAGGTCAGTATCAGTCATTGAGTTTATAATTGGTTAAACAAGGTTAATTTCTGGTGTTTAACTTGATTCCATATACACCCCGATGACAATTGTATCCAACAAGCAGTATCTTGTAAATCAACCTAAACATTTCATTGTAATTACCACATTGTCAGAGATTGAAGTGATTACAGTCACAGTATTTACTCAGATTTGAAACTTAACCTACATACTAGTTAACTAATATTCAAAAAGAAATGACTCGTCAGAGCTCTTTATTCAAACGAGAAAGACGAGGAAATAGCCGTACATCGCAAACCGTATATCGCCAACCACTTGACTTCCCAGCAAGCTTTATGAAGTGGAAGAAAAAGAGTACAGTCACAGGCCTTGTTCACATCACATGTCTGGCACAATGGTGCAAACTCGTGTTCGATGCAGTATTCAATGCAATGAGAACTCTACCAGATCTTACAAGAATCTATCTGTATCAAAGCTTTATCAAACCTGCTATAAACACTGCTATAACTGTGAAACTATTGACATCTAAAGTGACATTATTGAATACTTGCGAAAAGCTGAAAATGACTCATGAAAAGCAACTTGATCTTGGGAATATAAAATCAAAGGTCAATGAGACTTCTTATTGTGAAACATGTCTGTCACAATTACGTTAAAATGTGGAAGCGTATGTGGAACGGATCCACAGAGCGTATGCGGAACGGATATGGGGACAAAGTGTCATAATGAGTTTTTTGCCTCATTTTTACATTTCTGTGTTTTTGATTTATGTTATTTTGTAATGGATGCAACGTTGTATTAACTAATTATACAGTCTCACTGAGACAATAGTGAAATGTGCAATATGGGCGCTGAAAGAATGATGGGAATAATCATAGTTTTAAATAAGTTTTAGTATATCAGTAGCCTCATGGGGATACTTTCAGCGACAGCTCCCAATGCAAAATTAATGTAGTTTTAGAATATACAAAGTTTGGTTGTTGGTGGAACAATTTAAATTTCGAGTTGTCGCATGTAGCATCACAATAAATAAATAAATTGTATCAGTTCCACAAGGCCCGACATTTCTGATGTGTTAGACTTGTTTCAAATGTCACGCTACTTGTGTGCCGAACACATTAAAAACAATAGATAATGAGATGAAATGCCTATGCTAATTGCTTAACTTTATTTCGTAGTGTAAGCCATCAGCTTTACAAAACAGAAAGTCGTCATGCCCAAATAACAGCTCTTGCAATTCAACATTTAATAAAGAGTTGCAAAGAGAGTAGGCCGTTGGATGAGGGTTGAAATGTTCAATTCCATAGCACCCCTCGTGTAACTACATAATTTTTACATGAATGGATAGATTAGAACTTACTTAGTTAGAATCCACTTCCCCCCAAGCGAAGTAGTTGCACAAATTGAAGTACAACCTCTCCAAAGTTCATGTTTCGTTGTATTTCGAAATCCATGAACCGCCATTGTTGTGTTGCAAATACGCATGCGCTTGACCAGAAAACACTTAATGCGCACGTGCAGATAACAAAAACTGATCTCAATGCAGGACTGGACAAACCTGGACAGGAGAAAAATTATGAAATGTGCAAAAGAAGGGCTGAACTGAAACAAGATGACATCGGAGTGTTTTAAACATATATGATATTTTTATGTTTTGTGCATTTTAATGGTTTTTTCCAAACATTCTGAGTAATTTACCGTGTCGAGCCCTAGCCAGGAACACTTCCAAGCCAACATTACAATAATAACTTATTAAAAATAAGATGTTATTTTATACTACAGCAATTGCATGATGTTTGCAAGCGAATCTGTTTTTCAGGCTTTAAAAATATTATCACAATCTTAAACATTCCAGGCTGAACACAGCGGGTAGGCAGGGGGCAACTGTACCCCCCCCCCCCCACCCCAACTAGAGAAAACTATATTTACGACTTTTAGAATGTCATTATTTAACAAGTTATTCACCGAAGGCGAGGTGATTATCGGTGAATAAAAATCTAGTCGTATATGACGCATATCAAGAGAAAGGGAGTTTCCGTCTTATTTAATTAACAGCCTTTCCACAACAAACTTACACACTGTCCATTCTCACTCAAACTTGCATATATGACACATATCAAGAGAAAGGGAGTTTCCGTCTTATTTAATTAACAGCCTTTCCACAACAAACTTAAACACTGTCCATTCTCACTCAATTAAATTTAAATATGTTGTCCAACAGCATTAAGACAAAAATCGTAACAAGACCAACAAATTGTCTGACTCAGACTGAGTAATTTGCTCTTTACCAAAACATCACTTCTCTCCAAAATGTCTTTGGTGAAACCGTCATCAGTACTCTGACTCCAAAAGTTACCCACGATGATCATCACCATCATCATCACCTTCATCATCATCTGTTTTCCATCGCTGAGTGGTTATATTACTACCTGAAATAAACAAGCAGAAACTCGACGTTTCAAGCAAAGGCTCTTCGTCAAGAGTTAGTAGCCTTCGCTCGAAACGTCGAGTTTCTGCTTGTTTATTTCAGGTAGTAATATAACCACTCAGCACAGCAATTTCACATTGGTACTACCCACACTGGTACAGACAGTTTCTGTTCTCCATCGCCTTTGATCTTCAAACAATCAGGGTAAATATGTTATCTAATTAACAATATGAAGTCACAAATCGGAACAAAGGCCAACAGATGATTAACACAATGTGGGTATATAGGTTTCTCGTTCAACCTGAACTCGGAATCTTTCTTTCAGCTGGTTGAAAGAAACTTTTTACTTACACTGTGTTATTCCTGCAACCTCGATCTACACTGGACCCCCGCCCCCCACCTTGTTCAAGTTATTACAACAGATGATTACCTGATCTTATCAAACCATCACTGCTCTTCGAAAATT